CCTGTCAGTATGAGACAGGGACTGAAGCAAACTCGTAGAGGGTGGAAGAGAAACGTCAGCAGTTACAGCCACAGCTGCCATTCAGATGAAAATGGATAATAGCTTTGCCCAAATGCGCTTATGTTTGGTCTCTTTTCAAATCACAATGAATTCCTCGGTCTCATCAGCGCACACTGCAGTCAGTGTGAGACGGATAGATGGACGTAGATGGAAATGTATGAAGAAGAAGAAAAGAAGGAGAAGGAGAATAGCCGACAAACCGCAGAGTGACTAGACAGACGCACAAAGTTCCTCCTTTCACCTAAACGTCCACAAAATAGTAATGTCACAACCTGCGGCGTCTACTTTCAAAGTCGTCATTCGCACCTTAACGTATCGTTTATATGAATAAGAATTATGCGCGTGTGTGTCTGTTTGTGGGGGGCTCATTGTAACCACAGATGAGTCACTTCTACCTTCTCGGGTTAAGAGTGAGGGCCTTTGAGGTGGAATGAGTATGGGCCACTGCTGAATATTTTTAACTGCGTCAGAAAAAAAGAAGCAACTCACAGCGTGACGCCGGCCTCTGTACTGATTGACACCCACTGTGGCTTCATTTTCAATGCTTTTTGTGAGTCGTCCTCAGAACAGAGAATTTCAGCTAAATGTAATCTTTGTGTTTTCTGGGAACGTGGTACAGTATCTTTGGTCCGTCCTCTCTTTTCCTTGCATTGGAAAAAAAACACACAAAAAAAAACAGTGAGTCAACATCCTCTCTCCTTTTGGGCAAACACCGGAGAGTACGACATTCTCCGCAGCCCAGGCGCGCTCTGCTCTGCAGACTTCAGACAGACACGCTGTCTTCATTTGCTCTGAGGTGGTGGGAGGTGACGAGTACTGTTGGCAGTACTCGCCTGTTGGCAGTACTCGCCTCTTGGTAGTATTCGCCTGTTGACAGTACTCTTTGGTCGGTGGGGACGTTGTATTTGCACGACGTACCCTGGGAGAAAAAATAAACCCTGTTCGGAACAGAGTGATCCGTACCACTTCCTGTCTGGAGACAGGAAGGAGTTACTGTAGTCCTCTTACTTTCAAACCCGGTGTGGACGTCTGATGGCCTACAGGTTATTATTTGTTTATTGAATTAAAAATTAAATGTTTGTGGTGTGTTTATGTGAAAAAGGTGATGCCTTTCTAAAAATATTTGCTGTTTCAGTTTCTAGTAAAATGTTTCGACCTAAACACACACTGTGTTTGAAGATATAACCCCATGACGCTTCCTGCCATTGTATTTGAGGACTTTCTCTTTTTTCGTCACACTAGCGGTTGTCAGAGGTTTCATACAACAACATTACATTACGTTTTCTCAGAAACTATGAGGTTGGTCGATTGATATAGCTATATAATAATAACAGCAGCAGCTTTGTGCCTAAAACATTTTAGTATTTCATATCACAAACATTTCATAACTATTTTTTAATTCCTAAAATTCTCCAGGAAATAAATAGTATGGTGTTTTTGTCACAAATAGGGCCTACAGAAGCATTCTCAGTACCACATTCTGTCTGTAACTGGAATGGTGACATAGTCAAAAATTGGGTAACTGGAGGGCAAAAGAGTCAATAATAATCTCTGTTTATGTTCACTTTTTCCATTGGATTCAAAACTCTGCTACCAGTCTCATTTTAGCAAGTTAGAACACATTAGCTACATAGCAATTATTGCTGCAATTTGATGTGATAAAATAAAATAAAAACAGTAAATAGTGGATTAAGTTCCCTTCCTGGTACAGACTTGTGTTTACTCTCCCTCTGTGTTGTGAGTGTGTGTGTATGTGTTTGTGTGTGTGTGGATCAGAGAGGAAGCGACTAAACGTTGGCAGGTGGTTCCTTATCTTACTTTGTGCTGTCATCATAAAACAAAACCCCTTTTAGTAACAGAACTTCCAGTGGTACACCATATGTACTCCGCTGTGTGGCTAATACGTCTCAAATCCCTACAAATCAAAGAAAAGTCAGACATTAAGTTTAAGCTAAAGTTCAATCCAGATTTTTATCCTAATCTAACGTATTTCTGAAGCTTTCATGAGCAAGACATGAGAGAGATAAACGCAGAAGTTGATCCAAACACAGTCACATGTGTAGTAGCATTAATTCTACAACTACTAAGCCTACAAATGAGTCATTCCTTCATTCAAGCCTAACCGATACTTGTGTATCGGTGTTTTCTGTGTTAATGTCAAAGCTAAACCGTCATGACAGTCTGACATATGAGCAGCACAGGGAAATAAAACCACAGGCTAGTCAATGACAGAGGAATTCACACCCGTCACTCGCTTAAACAGGAAATAAATACGCTGTTAGAAACGGAGAGAGGTAACATCTGTATATGCATGTGTGTGTATGTGTGTGTGTGTGTGTGTGTGTGGGCAGTGGCGTCATTTAAGTCTTATTTTGTAAGTGGAGAAAGCATGAATAGATATGATAAATAGAATGTGTTGCTACAGTAACTTTGTTAGTGTTAATGTAAGTTTTGGACGCTTCATTTCTTTTTAAATTTAAAACTGTTTTTATTTTATTGCAATATAGCTTTTTATTAAAAAGTAAATTAATAAGAAGTTAATTGAGAAAACATATTTTAGAACCTCAAATATATTATTTAATGTGTTAACTGTTATTTTTATACCTTAATGAGTCTTCTTGATCGAGCACCATGCATGTCGAATTGATCTTTTGGATCCTGCAGCTCTTGGAGACTTGTCGTGAATCGTATTTAGGATGGTTGATAAAATAAAAATCTGTCCAACCCTTAAATAAAAGGCATTGACTGCGTAACTGAGACGTCCATAGCAAGCTGCTGGGTGGAAATTATGAGCAGCAATGTCAATGAAGTGGCTGTAAAAGACACCAGGAGACAATAAGACCTTTAACGTATCAGATCCCTGCTGCTGCTGCTGGGAAACACACAACAGGCAGAATCTTTATCTCAGATACACACTATGAAGAGCATGAGGATGTTGTTTCACTCATGTCATGCTGAACAGTGCTAAACTCTCTCTTTTATGAACATTTTTCGAAGTAAGGGGTATTTTTTACCTGTAACCTTTGACCCCTCATCATGTCGTTAACCCTCACCTGTTGTCTCTCGAGGCAGGTGTTTTTCGCCTGTGGTCTCTCTGTGTCATTTTACTGCACGTTAACTGTGCTCTCTCTCTCTTTGTCAAACACACACAGTGATAATCGCCTGCGTGCCATGCTGTCTTTTTTTGACCGTTGTGTTCTCTTATCTTGGATTTCCGTCACATTTGTCGACCACATCCCGTGACTTGACAGCCCATTCTGACTCCCACATCACAATCAGATGCAACAGGCTCCAAGTGCCCCACAGGCCTCTGTCGCTTTGAGACACCGAAACCATTTCAGTAATATTTCAGAGTCAAACGGGAAAGTTTTTGGTGGTTTTGGCTGGTGTCCTTTCCCCCGTGCATGTGTTTTAAGATGCTGCAAGTCTGAAGGCATCAAGTCGCTTCCTTATTTTTAACATCTGCACCATTCCTTTGACCAGGGCCACAACGGCCCGTCAGAAACTATGACGCACGCCGTGTTTGAGAAAGAGCACTCTGGTCTGAGCTGTTTCACCACAGAGGCTCGACTGCGTCCTGCAGGCCCTTCCGCTTCCTCTTTCCTATTGCTGTTCCTTTAACACCACAGACCAGCGGCAGCAGGGACAGTTTTTGAGTTTTCCGTTACGTTCACCATTTCCTAACGTTTTACACAATACAAGTAATTATTTGAAGCAATGGTCTCCCTTTTCACTAAATAAAGGTGCTCTCTTTTTTCTGCCATGAGTTTATTTTTTGCCGCAGTATTTGCTTTTAGACACCAGTTTGTCTTTTTATTGATCCTATTGTTTTAAGAACACACCTTTAAAAAAATGTAACCTAAACGATGGAGAGAAAATGATTCTGTTCAAATTTCCAGATATTCTGGTCACAGTAAGACCCATTTAGGAACTAAAATCGGTAATTATACTTGGAATAATGAGAGAGAACAGCATATTCTTTGTAAAATAGTGGTGTTTCAACAGTAAGGCAACATCAACAAATGTGCAACAGCATTATTGGCTAGTCATCCCCCTATGCTAACTGCCCACTGGCTTGATGCTGACCCCCTTTGTTAGGTCATTGTCTCTGTTAAATGGCCCTTTAACTAATTGTTTTTAGTGTACCATCATCTTGAATAATCATCCCCTCGTTATGCATTCTGCCCCGTCGCTCTAAACCCACGTTTTCAAGCACCGGCAAACTCGCATAACAATCCCTCGTGTCACCCCCTCCCTGCTCGTCCTTAACGTGCCCACAACAGTCGGAGGGCTCCGCTCGAACACATGGCCGCATACCATCGCTCACCATCGTCAACAGTGCTAATGCATCTGTGAATGTGCAGCAGAGGACAAAAGAGATCCACGCCGGAGAGGGTGACCGCCGTGACCTCACGGGTCAGCTGGGAGCCAGGTTTGAAAGGACTCTGACCAACCCCCGCCACACACACACAAACAGAGTGAGCGCTTGGACTACTGAAGTCACCATGGGAATATGGGAGCGTGGAAGAGAAGGAATCAGCATTCGTTTGCAGGAGCTGAAAGAAAACGGTTGTGTTTGGAATTTTGGGTCATGCCTGTTCGCCGCACATTCCTGTGTCACGGACGAAACAACAGCCTCCCTTCTGGATACCTCACGCCACAAAAAGCCTTGAAGCGTCCGAGACCAGACAACCGCCTCCAGAACTCGAGCGATAACATTCTTCAAAAACGGAGAGTTGTGGAGCCTTGAAGGCTCGCTATATTTAAAAGTATCACATGGAGTAGGAAGCATTTCCACTGGGGGGAAATTACAAACAGATTGTGGGAATTGTAGCTGCCAAACTTACATTAGCGCTCAGATTTTTAGGGGGAAAGACAAACTGTTGTGGCTTGTGGAATAAAATAGCTTTTCTTGCAAGTTCTACACAAAACAACAAGAGTAGGAAGATGACATAATTTATTTTCTGGAACCTTGACTTCAACAAGACAAAAACAGAATCAATATGAATAAACTAAAGTAGATATCACGGTTGTCTCTAACTAAATGTTGCATAAAAATTATAACGTGTCATTTACTCGGCTGTCAAAACAAAAATTGCATTGGGTAAAAACGGAGAAATCTTTTTCATTTTGTACAGTGACATGTTAAAAATAAATAAATAACTTAAAAAACTAAAAAGGAAAACAAAGGTTATTTACAGCTTGGAAACCTCGAGGGCCACAGAACATGTGGCCACGTGATCATTTGGTCGAACGTGGAGATGTGCGACCGCACAGCCATTAACTTTGGTCTCTCTACAATCTTCTCTTTTTTCTTCTTTGGTAACTTAAGTGGACAGTCCCTGGTGCTTCAAGTCTCTGGGTCTGCGGCGTTCAGCGCTTACAGTTTGCTCTCCTCCTCCTCCAGCGGTCGGTTCAACCCGGGGATGAACTTGAGGAGGCGCCTGCGGAAGCTTTTCTGTTTGGGCTTCCGCTGCAGCGAGCTGAACCCCCCCTGCTTCTCCCCCGAGGGGGTCGACTGCGATTGAGACCCCCTCATGTAGCTGCGAGTGCTGGCGCTGCGGGTCAGCTGCGTCTTGGCGGCGGCGAAGAGCTCGCTGGCCGGCCGCAGGCGTTGCTGCTGCCTCTGCGGCGGCTTCTGCTCTTTATTCTTGTCTGCGGCGCCGGTCGAGTCCGCCGGGTACAGGCAGGTCTGGTAGAGCGGGTCGTCCTCGGTGGCCGTGCTGAGGAAGCTGGCGCTGCTGCTGGTGCTGCCGGTGCAGCGCAGGGCCCTCTGAGCGGCGGGGCTGGGAGTGCCGAAGCTGCCGTACATCCCCGCCGACTCCAGGGACTCGTAGACCGCAGCGTCGCTGAGCACTATGCCTTCGGGAGAGAAGGGCACGGTGAGGATGGTGGACACGTGTTCTACAGGCATGCAGGGAAGTATTCAAACAGCTGAATGTTTGTCAGCTAGTTCAAAATGTAAATCATTGTTGCTTTTATGCAAGAGCATGGCAGATCAGCAGTGACACAGAGTGGGTTGAGATCACAAAAAGGACATTTCACTAATAAAAGACGTACCATGAACGAGCCTCTGCTCCTGCACCATCAACGACCGATATTCATCCCATTTCTCATGGAGAGTTTGCTACAAAAAGGAAGTGAGAAATTAGTGAATGATTGACAACCAGACGACAACAAACAATCAAAAGGTACATCTACCACAAAGTAACTTGTGTACAGTTAGAAACGATACTGCAGGGGTTTGTACAAGTTAGTTAAAACTAAAATCGCTCAACAGTTTACAGCTCATGTATAACAGACACTTAAAAAGTAATCAGTGAGGACACCGCTTTTCCTTCACGAGCTACCACTTGTGAAATACACAATACAGATCATTTTGAAATGTTATATTCACAAGAATAAATCACTACCCAGTGAAGTGGGCCTGTAAAAACTATAATGTTTATTTAGCGGTCGAAATAAATACAAAAAATTGTGTAACCTTTTAGTAAAACAATGAGGAAACTATATACAGAAACATAAATTCTACATTTTTATTTCCCTGAAGCGCACACGTTCCCAGAAAAGCATGGATCGCACCATTAAGTGATGAATACAGTTTGTTCCTGCGTGTTGGGCAGCAGGTCAGTCTTTAAACCGTTGGATTACTCCCTCGGAGAGCGGCTCTCTCACACTGGTGGATTAGAGCGGCACAGCTGCCGTAATCTCTGGGGGGGAAAGCCGGCAGCTTTTTAACAGCCATGGGTTTGAGAATGTCCGCGGCCATCAGTGAACTGCTGATGCAACAGGTGGTGGTGTGGGGGGGGGGAGACAGGTGCGACGGGAGGGGGTGTCATATCTAGTATGTAACATGCGTGTGTGTGTGTGTGTATGTGTGTGTGTGGTGGACGGACACAAACAGGCCGACTCGCCGTCGACAAAAAAAGCCGCTGCAGCACCGGTGGAAAGAAGAAAACGCTCACCTTCAGAAACTGCAGCCGGGCTTCCAGTTCCGCTTTTCGGATCGTGTCGCTGTAAACCGTCTCCAGCCTTTAAGCGTGAGACCAGAAGACAATGGAGTTATTCAGCGTTATGGGGAAGCACTTATTAAAGCAACAACGTCGGAAAAGAGCAATAAAAATAAATGAAAAAAAAACATATGAAAAGGGTCTTTTCATGAGAGGCGGGAACGGGCTGGTGTCAAACAGTTTACAAGGGAGGGGGTTGGGGAAGGAACAGATACAATTTCCACTCGAGACACTTTAAGTGAACCAAATGCTTTGAGTTACACGAGTGGGTGACCGGTTTATAGAGCTCGTTTTCACCCCAACAGTTTACACAGACCCCAGTTGTGAGGGTAATTTGATGATGTCAGTCTATAAAACTGTGCCCACTGAGCCCCTCTGACGCGGTTCACCTCACATTTTCAGCAGCGGCTCTCGAGACGCCGCTAATTTTCCTTTTAATCTTTTACGAGGAGGATATGGAAGTGCGGTTCAGATTAAACACGCTCGGCACTCATCAGAGATGCTCAAGATACTTCAGCTGTGGATGACTATTTTTTAACTAAAGAAAAATGTAAAAGTAAAATTTGGCATTTATATTTTTTAACTCTTGGCTTTTAAGCTGCCAGAAGGCTCGATTAAGGACTGCTGGGCGTTTGGTTGAACAGCTTCTGAACGCGACTCCTCCAAAACCTTTCCCGTCGGGGATTAAGGGAGTCTGTGTCTGGCTGTTTCAATAGCTTTCTGAAACAAAAAATTGACACCTTCCTCACACAAGACCAGTGCCAGCGTTTGAACTTTTCCTACAGAGCCGCCCATTCCTCTCACAATGATATCCGGCACTTTTCATGTGACCGACAGTGGGAGGGAGGGTCTGAAAACGTGGCGCCTTTTTCCCCAATATGTCTCGTGCCTCTTCGTGCTGACCTGCTTTTAAACTTGCTCGTGTCGGTTCCTATAAATACTTCTGCCTTTTGAGGCAAAAGTCTGTGAAATGTCAATTTCCCACAGCCTGAGGCAACATTTTCCAATTGCTAACTTTGACTAAGCAACAACCCATAACACAAACATATGCAAATTAGCAAACACATAAAATCACTTAGATATCTTTTGGTTATATGATATAAAAAGGTATACGTTATTAAACCATTGGTTCTCAGTCAAAATAATGAACTCCTACACATGTAAAGTGACTTAAATTTGTATTAACCATCATTAAAAGTGAGAACTTCTAATTTGATTAATAGAACAATATCTCGAACATTAGACCCCTCTCTGTTTTGAATTGAAGCGTTTCCACAATGAGCGTCCCCTCTTTCTCTTTTTCCTGTTAGGACACGTCCCTCTTGTAATTTACATGATGTTTTCCCTTTTGAATTAACCTTTCTAACCACCTAGTCAGCAGCACAACACTCTTCTTTGTCTCTGCTTGACGATCAAATCACTTGCACTAGAATAAATGAAACACGTCCATTAATGAGGTGAAACCTGAAAGCTCTACAACGTGGTTTTTTTTTCATCGGTGTACCTGAGTGTGTGTCCGCACGCCCGGATGAGCTGAACAATCTCCTTGTGCCGAAATCCCTCCACGGTGGCCTCGTTCACACTCGAGATGGTATCCCCTGAACACACACACACACACATGCACTTTAATCAACTGTGGCTTGAATTAATGAGAGCAGCAGCCAACTGAGGCTTGTTTGATTCCAAATGAAACCTCGACACACGTGCAACACAAATGCAGAGGCGGCGCGTTAATGGAGTGAAGCCGACTTCAAGGCGCTGAAGCCATATTTGTTTCCTTTATTTCTGAGGCTCTCATTGCCCCACGTCGGACTCGTTAGATGTGGTTTGGACTCTCTAGCGTGACAGGAGCCTCCACCACGGTTCAGCACAAAAGCCCATTTTCCTCTTTTCAAAAGCCACCGCCTTTTGTGCATCACGCGATCGTCACTGTGTCCGCCGGGAGACACGGGGAACAATAGAGCGAGCATGTGAGGAATGTATGGAAGTGAAACTGAAGTGACATACGCCAGTTAGATGAGGGGAAGGAGGCGGAGGAGCACCTTACTTCTTCTTTGGCTCGCTGACGGAAGCAGTAAGGCTGGGAGCGGCTGACGGAAGCAGTAAGGCTGGGAGCGGCTGACGGAGCGGCTGACGGAGCGGTCACGAGTTTTTAAACTGACTTACGTTATCCACGGGCCTTATTTGGTCTGTGGCATTTAAAAAACAAATCCATTCGAGAAAGCCACTGGCTTTGAGACAAGAGAGCTTCTCCTCATCTCACGTCACAGAAATGCAATTTTACTTTTAAAAATCACTGTCACTCATTTGTTTCTATCTTTGAGTTTCTTTCTTATTTAAATGATGCACATTAGGAAACAATTCATGATTGCCAGTTAAACGAACACTTCCTTTCAAACTGGCATTTGGGAGGTTGTCTGTGCTCCACTATCTCTCGCACGTGGGCGCGAGGAGCTTGTAAATATGCGTCTTTGTTGAATGGAAAATGAGGAGGCAAACAGTCGTGTTTGTACTTCCCTATAGCAGATGGCCAAAAAGACGCGTGTTCTTTTGTTGACGTATGTAGAGGCGTATTGGCTGCCAGAAACAAAAAGAGGGCAAGACACACACACACACACACACACACACACACACACACACACACACACACACACACACACACACACACACACACACACACACACACACACACACACACACACACACACACACACACACACACACACAAAAAGCTCCTAACACACTCACTTCCCCTCAGGACTATAACGAATGTTGCTCAGGCCTAAAATAAGTCCATAAGAGAGAAACACAAACTCACCAACTTTGAGTCCTGCCTGCTGGGCCGGGCTGTCATCGTGCACCTTGCAAACGAACGTGCACATCTCAACAGAGTTCTGGTCTTGATGGTGCAGCCCGTAAGTCTGAAATAGACGGAAACAAACTATTGAAAAAGACTTCCCTCTACTTGATGTGCCGGTATTGTCTCACACAATGCGATTGACAGTTTCGAAATAATGTGGCCATACACGACACCAGGCCGATGAACCGACAAATGACGAAGAGAGGAAGCCGTGACGGACGGAGCAGGAAAGCAGATCTTATCTCAACATGCAGCGGCGTGGCTTGAGGTTGAGGGAACTGTAGTTGTTCATGAATATCATCTGAATGCAGTTTGGTTGTGGTCAAAGATGGGGTCAAACACTCTATTGTGTCATGAAACATAGGCATTACAACTAAAAGTTCAGCCTCCTAAACACAGATCGTTGTTGAAAGCTAACCAGATATCACCTTCCTTAATATGCAGCTAATATTTGGTTGTCTTAGAAACCTTTTGTTGTTACTTCCCCATGTATTTGCACGCTCTTGCTAGTTTTGGTGTGCCTCGTCTCTGTGCAGAAGGTCAGCGCTCTGCAGGCCACAGAGAGATTTCCCCTTTTCACGCGACCATCGGTCAGCCAATTCGCAATTGAAACTGTCGAGTTCCGTCCCCCGCAACACTCAAAGGCGGTCGTTGTAACCCGGACGAGTGTCTTTTATGAAACATTTGCAATGATTGCGATCCCTGCGACTCAATTTCCTCTCAGCTGCCTGGAAGATAAACAAAACCAGGCAAATATCATTTGAAGGCAAATAAAGAATTTGCATGCTGGAAGCCCAACTCCACATTGGTGCTAAAATAACCGGCACCCAGGGAAACGCGCGATTTAAACTCATGTTACTCCTTCTCTGCTGCACGTCCAACCGGCCCTCGTGATCTCACGTCCTCCTGGCGGCAGGAAGGGCGGGAACCTCCGTCCAAACCGTAAATAGAACAATACGACTCTTCCTCCGCGCAGTTCTCCCCTCACAGACACTCAAACACGGAACATCGCTGCTCAACCCGTGTTCGAAAGCTATTTAAAGAAATCCGTCTGCATGACAGAGTCAACGTTGCGAAGCGGCGCCGCTTCGATGCGACGGAGGGAGGATGCGGTCGGGCAAGTGCAGCAGGAGAGCGCAGCAGGTATGGCGCTGGAAGCCTGTGAGCAAACCGCACCGCTTCAGATACAGACGCTTGGAGAAAAAAAAAACAACAACATATCTTCCCTCCAGTCATGGGACCAACATTAACACAGCTATTTGACTGATGCATGACCTTTCACCCGTGTCAAAGCAGGCAAATGCCGGGATTAAGAGATTTACATAATATGGTACAAGTTACAGCATCTGCCGACAGATGTGGACGATCAGGGGAATCCGGTTAAAAAAGCACTGGAGAGGCAAACAACCCTTCCGGTGGATGTTGCTATTGATCCTCCTACCTGGATCTCGAAACCAAACGACTCCTCTTCATTTTTCTCCAGGACCACCACATTTCTGAAACAGGATAGAGACAATAAATAATTTCTTCAAGCAAAAAATACTTTTTTTAAGATGAGGCATTGCTGAAACAACTAATTTAGAGTAAAGAGAAGGAAAAAAAGACAAATAAATAAATGCATGAACTAAGCCCACCCATCGGCTTTCTAGGCCCATGATATTGATGTTAAAAGACTAATTTATGAAACCGCATTTTTGTAAATAAAGACAAAGCCAGGATGAACAAGCTGTTTACGTCCAGCTCTTCACTCCTCTCTTCCATATCTAAACTGCACAGGACTTCTTCGGTGAAGCGGAATCCGGACGTCACAGCTACACGTACATTACGACGGCCCCAACGGGGCAGCAAAACACATGAAAATTCATGACGACCCTCAAAAGAATATCATGCATAACAATGTTGTGGCGTGTTTGAATGTGGGCCTTTCACTGAGGCGAGGCGGCTCACTAAAAAACGCTCAATGAGTTGATCGTGGTGAATTTTATTGGGATACTGATGAATAGAGACATTAGACATTTAGGCACTTTTTGAGGAACGCATCATAATTCTTTGGGCCAGGAGAATGTTGAGACAAAATATTCACCAATGGCTACTTGTGATCATTTTTAGGAGGAAGTCTTGAGGTGGAATCATATGGAGCTTAATGTTAGATGCCAGTAAGAGGATGAAGAAGATTTGTACCTTTGTGGTTCTGGAGTCAGTGTTAAAGGTTTCCACTTCTGCAACCCGCCACCCTGCGAAGAGAAAAACGAAACAACACATGAAGCGTGTCAGACACCTGCGTTACTCATGAGGGTTTCCCCGCCCGGACATTTCCAGGACACACCTTCCGTACACATCAGTGCATCAACCGCTTCATCGGTTCCTCAAAGCCATTGAGGCCTTGAAGGTCTTGAATGAAGGTTTAGAAACATCAGAGGAGAAAACCAGAAATGCGCGCCTGGCCGCTGTTTACTTCTCACAGTCACCACATCTTAAGAGCATCTAAACGTCGCCTCAATTTCGCGCTAAATCTGCTGCCTCCAGGCACTCGAACTGTTGACCCGTGTGAAACTTCAGGTCGCCTCGGAGCAGTTAGTACAGATTCCCGCCTATTTAAGAAACAATTAATACACACTTGGGTTAAAATAACCACCACAATGACGGCATTGAGTGAAAAGTCAGCAGTGGGTCTGGACTCGGCCCTACCTGACGGTAAAAATAAGGACGGTACCCGTCCAGAAGGCTCCACTAAATCACTTACAATCAATCCTCGTCTGTTCCAACTCGATTATTTTCAAATGCTGCCCCGTATGAAAGGCCGCTGTGTGCTACAGTCTCTCGGCGCAGTAAAATGTTGCTTTCTTTATGTCCCAACACTCGCAGAATTGTCCCGCTCCCTTCTGAATGAGGGCATTTATTGCTCTCGGAGGCCGACGGGGGTGGCTGGAGCAGGCTCTCTGTGGAAGTGTTTGCACAATGCACTGTTGTAGCCCTTCCCTCCAGCCACTGCACACACCACGTATGCATGGATGTGTGTTTGTGGGTAACGATGCCTCTCCTCACTGTACACAGGGACACAAGTCTGTTGTAAACTGGTTTCCAAACGGGATGCCAGAAACACCAAAGGAGGTAAAGTTACAGAATTGAATACAGCTTTATCAGGCACACAATAGCCAGGAGAATGAGCCAGTTGACCCACAAGAAATGCAAGCCAATGTTATGCAACAGCGGCTGGAGCTGGTGTCATTCTGGATCATCGTCAGTTCCTACACTTCATTATTCAATTATGGATTCATCAATTAAGGCTTCCTTAAAGCTATCAGGTTAAAACTTTGGTTTATCTTGGATGAACCATACGCTCTTATTTTGAAATAAAGGCAACATGCATAAATGATGATTGGTTAAAAATACAAACCTTTATAATAATAGTTTTTTAATTTGAATATTGTTTTTTTGTGCTAATACCAGTGTTGTATATTGGTGGTATTAGTAGCACTAAATAACAATATTTACAACAAAAGTTTCTCATTTACCTACATGTGATTAATCTCCAAAATCCTATTATTGTAAATATATTTCATCACTCATCACAGGGAAAGGACCCACTAGTCTGTGAATTAACCTGAATTGGTTTTGCAATCCTCCTCATTTTAATCTGTACTCATATGAAGTACCTGAACCATCATTAATCAGATTCAGTGGGTGGTCCACACTTGCCCCTGGATGGGCTACTGTTGACCTTTCAGTGAAGATGACCTCTGTGAACCTGCACAGCCTCCCAAAAGGGAGGGATGGAATGATTGTGGTGACAAATAAAATAATCATGGGGGATTTCTGCATAATCCTAAATACCTTCATGAGTGGGTTGAAATCTGTCTGACTCACTATTGTGGTGGGGAAATAAAAAACAGAACTGGATTTAAAATAAAATAAACGGATACTTTTCATACTTTGTTTATGCAAGGAGACCTACGGATTTATGATGAACTTATATATGATGGTTTTCAAAAATGATAACACTGACTTACACATATTTTTTGGACTTTGCAAAATAAGCAATTTATTTGACTTATTTCAGAGAGTAAAAAACTCATAACTCGAAAAGACTATTTCATCTTAAAAGTGACATTTGGCAGCTTTTAACTGAACCAATAACTCGCGACTACTCAAAGCCACATGAGGGACACAATCGATTGTTCCACGCGCTCGTTTACCTTTTTGAAGTTCCTGGGCAGCGTCCCTCCAGAGTAAGCCAAAGTCTTGTGGTTGTAAACCTCCGAGGAGTTTGTCGGTAAGACAACAGTCCTGCAACTGTCTGACTTTGACGAGGGGAAATAAATGTCGCTGTCTTGAGATGCGGTTCCGCTCTCTGGCTCGCTAGAGTTCACCTTCTTCAGCCTCCTGAACGTCATGTTGAGCTCATATAACCAAAAAAAAGTTGTTGTTTTTTTTAAAAAGGTGACGAAAGCGTTGCGGAAAAAAATGATTACACAAAATATTAATAAAAATATCTTGTCCTCAGAGAAAGGAAAGAAAAGAAAAAGAAGCCCCCCCCCCACTCCGAGCCTTGAAAGATGCTGACCGAGTTGTGGGCTTCAACGTGGAGCCAACAAACTACACTTTAGACTGGAGAGTTCCTCGTGAAAAGGCTGGGGGCGGGGGCTTTTGTTGTGAAGGACGCGGGTGAGTGCCAATAGGGATGTTGACGCGCATCCGTCTCTGCTGCCTTCAGGTGCGCCTCGGACGATTCGGTTTTCCATTTCGGGAAGTGTTTTGGTTTTGGGGTTCGCAGGCTGCTGTAAAATCCGGCGGAAAGTAGTGGTTTATATCCAAGAAATTGGGGGTTAAAATCAAGAAGGAATAGAGTACGTGAAGTTATAGTATAGCAGAAATATCATTAGTAATCACTTTAGTCATTATTAATTCGGGTCATTGATTAGTCGTTTAAATTATACCTTTTTCAAGCACACATGCCAAATATGTACAGGTCCCACCTTCTTAAACGTGAGAATGTAATGATGTAAGTGACTTTACTCAACTGGAAGATATTCATAGGATTTTTTAACCCAAAGGGGAAATTTAAAAATAAATGGACACACTGAGATTAGACTTTTATTAGTGCATCATGTTTTTCATATATGTTAAAACGTGTATTGAGGGGCCCCTTAATGCTGTAGCATATTTGCACCAGCTAAGAATAACTCTGTAAGGCTGATATGTAACATTAATCTTTAATTGGGTTTCTTGTGTTTCATGTATCAATCTGACCGGCAGCTTCTTTGCAAAGTTTCCAAACATACAGCATGGTAGTGTTCATTTGTCCAAAATAATTTGAAGGCAACATTTGTTTCTGGCAGACAAACCTCTCATTAAACGTTAAGGGCAATATTACTCAGACAAAACAATATTTATTCCAAGCTAAATTCTTGCTTTGTTGAACAAAGAGATATGATGTACAACGAGGAGTTAAGGACTTAAAGAGGCAAAGAAAACTATTATTTTGAGTCAGTGGAGCAGATCATGTTGCTGCCACCAGACGCCCCCCTGTGGTAGGAGAAACAAACTACCACATTAATAATGAGCTCTAACGACCACTGGTCCAGACGATTTATTAAAATCTCCACACAGCGTGTTGTTTCAGGCAAGTCACATATACATCTTCCAGATATATTGAAATTATACGAGTAGGATTAAGCATTTAAATAATTTAGTTGGAAGTGAACATATCTTTGCTTGCTTCCGAACACACAGTTAAGTGAATTAATTCAATGGAGCAACATGCGTCCCTCTTTTAGTAATCATTCTCACATTACAGTTCCCAAAATAACTTTCAAGAATCTTCTAACAAATTAAATAACTGCAGTCACATTCTGAAATGTAATCTCCCCGAACCTTCACTTTAGATTTCGATCCGACACAAATACTTATCTGTCTTTTGGAGCATCTTTACAGCCCCAACAAAAATAACAACACAACATCGATTACGCACATCGGGCTCTCTAAAGTATTCTACTAAAGCCATCGTAGAGAACAGATTATAAAAAGGCACATGAAGCTGAATATTGTTCCATTAGCGTGAAATTCACACTAATTGTTACTTTAAGTTTGTAGAGAGAGCAGCGTTTCCTCTAACTGTGAAGCACTGAAGCACAGAAGCAGCGAGAGAGTTTGGTATTGGTAAAAACACAGAGTACATTTGGTCAAAATCATTTTGTCACAACGCAAACTATTTCTTATCCGCCACTTGAAGTCACACAAAGCCATGCTTCGGTTATATGTTACAGAGATGCAGTTATCTTAACTTTGACAGTTACGGTGCAATTATTCTACAATATAAACATTCAAACTATTGTATTTTTTTTCTTTTGTAAAGTGTCATTCCTCTATTTACAGAAAAACGTGTGCGCGCGGCTGCTTCTGAGCGGTTTACTTGTAGTTGAAAAAACCAGCTGATTTTGCCTGAGGAGCCATCAACATACTGGCTTGATTCTTGTGTGTGATGTGAATCTGAAAAAGGAAATACAGAAAGCAGAATGTCAAGTAAATGATGACACAATGAAATCAAAAACATTTCTACTGATGTCACTGCTGAAAAAAGGTTTGCTTTGATGTTCAGTTCATGTTCCTTAGGAGGAGACATGTGCGTTCTGTACCGTGCAGGGAGGCTGCATCCACGGCTCTCCATCTATCTGCATCGGTAAGGCTTTCTTCACCCTGAGGGTAAAGAGGAGCGGCGTCAGAGAACATCAAATCAATGACCCTAATGTGTAATTAAAATACCAAAAGAAAAGGCCGGCATGTGTAATTAATGTTATGTAAAGAACCGTGGGATTATCCTAAACCGGTGATCAAAGTCAACCGCAAAGCCATTGTCGAGACGTTTAAGGCTCAAAGCCGGACATGTCGGAGCATGTCTTTGAGGCCGTTTCTCACCTGATTGTAATCTGCGAGGTCTTGGCGAGCCTCACCGCACTCTTGAGCCCCGTGTATATCTGTCCCATCTCCATGGCTCCTTCGAGGCCGACGACTTCTAATCGACGGTCACTGAGATCTGGCCCGGGCACAAAGACATATTGAACATTCAATCGCTGAGACACACATTTCGGTCATCATTTATATTCTGAATACATTGGAGCATTTAGAGCCTTTATTCATAATTGTTCAGGTAATAAGGCAGATATGTTCCTCAGAAGCTTTTAGAGACCAGAAATAAACCCCAAAAGAGAGTCAATATCAGACAGGTGGACACAAAGACACACTCTAAATGGATGCTAATGGTCTGTGCATGCTGGATGTGTAACTGTCTGATAAACAAGTTCCCATACAATCTCGTCGTGTTTGTTGAGCTTGTTGTTGCTGACCTCAAATGGCCCAAAATAAATCAGTTAATGCAGTATTAAATACTAGACCAGCATGGAAACACGCCTTTAACCACGCCAGAGCCAGCGTCATTTACTGCACTTATTGATCGTGCTAAAAGACCATCTTAAAGACACACAAATTGATTTTCTTTATGTCCACTTGGGAGCAGCGGATCAAGCAGAAAACGTTTCTGTATTCTTCGCTTCCTCTTTAAGCTCTGTGTGGTGCAGAACCCCAGATAACGTAGGTTAAATCCCACATGCCCTCTGGTCTAACTAGCCAAAGACCAAATACCTTGGGAGGTAACTTTCAGGATTTCTGGGTCGACGATCACATCCGGCTCTTCCTGACTCGTCATTCCCTTCGCTTCACATTTTTTGGTCTCACCCCATAGGTTGGAGCCGCCGTGCATGCTGGGAATGTTTAGCACAGCAACCCCTTCTAGAGACAGGCTGCTGAGGTCCAGTGGAGTACCGCAGCACTGAAGGAGAAACAGCGGCAGGTCAGGGACATCAGCCTGTGCTCGGTGTGCTCGTGGGATTTTTCTCTCACTGCAGAAGAGTTGACGCAGCCGATGCAGCTCGCTCACCTCGATCGTTAGACTTTCGCTAAGTTTCTTGCAGGATGCGGAGATGGTTTCTGAAGTCGCAAATTCGAAATACCACAGCTTGTTCTTCATTCTGCATTCAGGAAAACAACAAAACAAAAAAGATTCTACTTTGCATGGAACACTTTCTCCTGTTATCACAAAGCTCTTCAGGAGTCAAGGTGCAACGCTTGCTGAAACAAATATTTGCTGTCGCAACAGTTTTATTCTTTCTTTTTTTTTCACCGAAGACAGAAACAATTCAATTAAACTGACATTCCTCCGGTTTATGTTGTTTTATTGAAATGTTTAAGGTGTGATTTTAAAACTGTGTTGCATTTCATTATTGTGCGAAATATATACAATAATATTTTAGGTAACCATATCTTATGCGTATTCATTTCATGTGGCTGTAACCTTTTATTTAGGTGGAGAAAAAAAAACACTCTATAACTAAAACAAAGTTTTTCACCAAAATGTTGAATGTCTACCTGCTGTTAAATTTCTGGGGATGTTTCTCCCTCATTGTGTGAAACCGGTGGGCGATAGAGGCGTCCTGTAACCACAACAAAACACAGCAATTATCCAAGTGCCAAACTGAAAAACAAACACTTCCTCTCGCGTGACTGAATTCTGTTAAACTCACCACTCCAATGGAGAAGTAATTGTTGATGATTTCATACGGCACTGGGTCGCCCTTCTCCTGGTTCTCATCCGGGATGACCTGCACTGTCCAGCGGTCCATCAGCACCTGAGAGCTCCCCTCGATATCTTTAAGAATACGACTCAGATCTTCACCATCGTATCCTTCAAAGGGAAGACACACATAAAGGCCAACGTGACGTATAAGACACAAATATGTGGAGAACTCGTTCGGTGATTCATGTTCAAACAGACACACACAAACAACCCAGCAACATGCATCTATGCAGCAAGCTGTTTTAATTTTTCATGACAAGGAAACACTCAAAGCTCTTGTCTTCTCACCTCCGCCCCATCGCAGGCATCGCGCAAGGTCATTTCCTGTGCCCAGAGGAAGCACAGCGACAGGTGGTCGCACCAGCAAATTGGCTTTGTCTGATAACATGAGAATGACAAAAGGGGCAATGCAAACAGGAAAACAAGGGTTTAATCAGGAAGCCCTTTGTGGGGCAGCCCCTTTTATAGAGTGATCGATCAATCTCACCGATCGCGTCCAGAATCCAGCCGACTGTGCCGTCTCCCCCGCACACCAAGATCCTGTAGTTCTGCAGATTTCGGAAGAAACTGAGTCTGAAAGACGGGGGAGATTATAAACAGCAGAGCATTTAGCATTCAGGACATTGTGGTCTGATAAAATGTAATATGTGGCTCAATTGATTCTAAAATAAAAAAAAAGCTTATATCTATTTAATGCTACTAATAATCGGTTGGACTATCTACTCACCCTGGTGCAGGTCCGCCATTGCAAAGGTTGTGTACCTGCCGTGGATTCAGTAAATACTGAAATTTGTGCAGGACTCTGCAATACAACACACACACCAGGCTCAACAATATGAACGTATTACGCAGCCATCTTTTCACAAACATTTCCTTTTCTCACCTTTCTCCCTGCTTCCCACCACTTTTAAGGTTAACAAACACTAGAAGAGGATGGGTGTTTGGCACAGGGCTGATCTGTTGAATGATACGCACATTTTGTAGTTTGATTAACTAATTTGCTGCAGAAACGGGCAGATCAAATGGAACCCTGTCATTGTGAATATTAGGCATTGAATAGGCTTTGTTGGGAATAACAATAGTACCTGAAGCACTTGTCCATCAGGAGTCGTATTGAGCACACTGTCATCTGCTGCCCCCGAGCCGCCATTTTTCACATTGTTTGGTCTTTCCTTTAGGGACAAAAACAAAGCAAAATGTGTGAAAATGTTATAGATCTTCCTGGCTTTCAAGCTCAAAAAGAAAAATCTCTCTAGACCTCGCCACACAGGAGGGAGGGAAAGGTTTCTAAACAACAAACAGCCCTGAGCTGATGTTATGCGTTGGTGTGACAGGCAGTGTTTGTATTGCATGTGTGCCCGGGGATAATTATGTACCTTTATAACAGGATATATTGCCCACGGAGGCAGGATATGGTCTCTGAGGGGCCCACAGGTGCATTGCGTTGGTTCCTGGTCAGCACATTCATCATGACGCTGTAAAACATAAACAGTGACACGTCGAATAAACTTCCAGCATAACGGGGACGACGACTGACAGGATCCAAATGTATCTTTAAAAGGTTTTGCTTCAATTACTTCTCACTGTGTAAAGACAAAGTCAATTTAGTGGAGGGAGGGAACAAGCCGTTACAGAATGAATGTGGGTGCCTGGTAACACTAATGCATAATTTATCCTCATTGCTAAACATCAGTCCCACGTCAGCACACGTCCTCACCATCGTGTGGCACCACACACAGTGTTTGCCCGTTAAGCCTTGAAGGCTCTTGATCTTCTTCTGGCATTTTTCACACTTCCTGGAGTCACAGTTCCCACTCACCCAGTCGTGTGTTGGAACCTGAAATGTGAGATGAATGTTTTAAATGTGCACTCAGACTGCGAGCGTCACTGGGAATGTTGTCATGGACGCACGGGCATACCCCCGTTTCTTTCTTTGACTTCACATACGTCCTGGTGCAGGGGGCCGGGTTCCTGTTAGCACAGCGTCCGTGGACTGTGTATTTGCAGCCTGCACATCACATCACATAACTCAGCTGTTAGAACATTTTTACATCAATATCACGGCTGACAAGAGCATCAATCCAGAAAACCCCACTGCAATTCTCAATTTTGGCTTTTTTAGTTAGCTAGATGTCGCCCTCTTCTGGGGAGTTCTGGTACTCACAGGTGCAGCAGAGTCCTTGTTTCCTCAGACCCAGCAGCATGCTCTGGCACACATTGCAGTAAACGGGCTTATTGAAATGTTTCATCTTCCAAAGGTGCTGCCCGTCCTTTTGAGTCACCTGCCAGTCGAAGGAGAAATTGTTGAAGACGATAATGAAACAGACAAAAAAATGAACATCACGGGGTGGAAAAAATTAATATAGAAAAGTAAATGTAGCAAACCAAGCATATATATTTTTCCTTTGTTAAAATGTGGCTAAAAATACACAAAAACCCTTTCAATCATAAAAACATTGGAAGGCCAATGTGCATTTCACAGTTATTTTCCACACCTACGCTTGAATAACCTTGCCTTAATGAGATGGCTGATTATGCAGTATGTAGAGGCTCTATATATAATTACATACAGGGCGACACCATATTCAAATCAACACTCAATATAATCTCAAATTCTCAACACAAGATTAGAAGGTTGCTTTCAATCCGTTTGAGCGGCCGGTGCTTTTATCTGGATTGCACCATTTGCACATTTTTTTCCCCCTGACATGATGAATCATCCTATCACTTACTCCATGACACATAGCCAGCAGAACCGAGAAAAGGCACACAGCCACCGGGAGGGGCCTGAATTCATGCACCCCGGGCTTCAAATGTCCATTGGTGGCTAGAAATAGCATGAGGGAAGTCCCTGGCATTGTTGTAGAGGCCAAACCCAGCAGCAGAGTCCAGTCTGTGGTTATAGACCGCCATAGTCAGCGGGTAGATACGCAGTCTGAGGGTAAGTGGCTGTTACTGGCAACGGAATAAACAAGGCTCATAGACCCAAGACAGACCTTGTCCTAGGTGTTACGTATACACCCAGTGTAAAATGATACATTTCTTTGGTCAAGTGTAGTTTCGGCAGATTGCTTCTTTTTGACAAGTCCTTTGTCAAATGTGGAAAGAGAGACTGCAGAGTAAATGGAAAACACTTAAGCACTCTAATGCTGCAGAGCTTGCATGAGAGGAGATGACATTACCACACCCTGCAACACTGAGTCAGCAAAAAGGCCCCTATCGTTTATGTGTCTATAAGGGAGGAGGCGAAGGACAGAGGAGCCACAAGAGCAGTTAAGAGGGTTTTACGACCTGCTGTAAAAGGAAATGTGTATCTGAGAAACACGACAGAGAGGAAAATGCTTCTATAGTACCTTAAGACCCAACAACACCAGCAAGGGAACGTTGTTCATGCCTCCCTCCACCCACTCCTCCAGAGACACTGTACCGCTGCTGTCGGCATCAATTGCTGTCATCATGTCCTTCAGAACCTGATGAAATGACATTTGATTGTAATAATGCAATCAGCACACAGACCTCTATTACTTAGAAGAACCATATGGTCTCTGAAAGTGGTCTCCGCGTGGGAGTTTGTGGATTTTGCATAGGTGCATATACCACCATATACCGGAGGCAATGATGTAAACGGTTTATCATAAAAACAAATGTTTCTCACGATACACACATTAACTATATTATCAGAGTAGTGCATTGTGACACTTACTGGCCTCAGCTCTGACACATCCCATCCCAGGTATTCTGCAGCATGCATCATCTGAGCAATAATCCGATCCACTTCCTGTTTGAAAATATTGTGAGAGGTCTAATGCAGTCCTTCCGCAACTAAAACAGAACCTTTAATCTTTAATTTCACAGAACTTACAGAGCTGTCGAGGACTCCGTTCCCATCTCTGTCATAGAGCTTGAAGGCAACTACAGATAAAGGGGAAGTTAAAGTGCTGCGTCAAGTTATCACTCATGTTAACTTGGGCACAAAAGAACCAAAGGACTCACACTCCAGCTTGTCCCTGGGCTGTCCATCCTCCAGCAGAGAGAAGTAACACGAAACATCCTTCAGAAAGACCTCTTCTACAGGAGAGACAGAACGATGTCGGTCAACCACAGCTGCTCAAACGGCACCTCATAGGCTTTTGGGGAGACGTGAAGCTACGCCAAAAAGGGCCAGGGCATGAAGTGATACGGGCATGCAGAGAAGTAGCATGGAGACAGTGAGTTGTGTTAATACATGGTGCATAATCTCACTGGCATAATCTCCCTGGGTGGGTTCAGAGTTTTGGAAGGAGCAGAAGAGTCGCTGGCAAAGATCCACAGGAAAGTCCTCCACTTCTAAATAAGTCTTGAGGAACAGACGGAAGCCTTCTTCATTGATGCACTGCAAGAAAAAAATTAATCAGGAGACAGTTTTTTGTGAGATCTTGAATTAAATGTTGTAACCCTCTGTGTATGTGGGTGTGTCAACTTCTGCATTTTTCTAATTCACCTCTATTAAAAATAAAGGGAAGATGACATTCATCGTTTTTCTGTGTCGTTTTCTCTAGAAAAACTCTGTTTTGTTTTGAGCTTGCGATTCATGTACTCAAATTGCATCCAGTGGGGGTTGAAAGGCATTTAAAAGCTTCAGGGTTTTCATGTCAAAAAGGCCAAAAAAAGAAACCCCTGAATCATGATGTTAGTCCATCTGTTTGGCTCGGTATTGGCCTTCCTTGCATCATAATATGCTGCAGGGCTAACAAGCAACTGTCCCTTGACAACGGTGAACCACAAACTCAATTCTTGTTGACATTATCAGATTTCCCCTGGTTGAGACCCATGCCGAGCTGCCCCAGTAATAAACCACACTGCTGCCAAATAACAAAAACAAAAAGGACAAAAAAAAGACAAATTAAACTAAGACCACGGAACCAGTATCATAAGTTAACACGTAGACCAACATCCACAAATTGTTATTCAGTGCGTTTTGACAGCTATGAACTAGAACTTTATGCCAGCATTTATGCTTTTTGTCATAAATTAAAAAAAACATTTCCTTCCAATCATCTAATTACGCTGGCTGCGGCTAAATCATCCATCTGAAATCGCAGCAGTTGCTTCCTGCACAAATTAGTTGGCACTGTCACCCAGTGACACCACAGCACAGGAAAGATCTTTTTCAATCCCATTTGCGCTTACACTGCACCGAGCAGTTCGGCACAGCCCTGCTGCGTGGGCACGACTAGGAAGGTAATTCACAGTGGCGACACCGCTCGCCTGCCCTGAAGATATTTCCCTTGGACAGCTTAGTCAACGTGAACGATTGGTCTGATTCTTATTAATTAGCGCAGCCTAATCATTAACTGTTCAATATACATCAATCAAATGCCTCATTAAGCTGCTCCACTGAGACATGCAATTCAGTTCAGTCATTTCTGTGAGTGAGTTTTGGACCTGCGGGTGAACAGCAGGAGTCACCCCCCCTTCCCCTCACCTCTCCATGTCTGTGCCGGGCCAGACGACCATCTGCATCAAATTCCCTCAGCACGTCCTTGACTGTCAAGCGGCAGTCTGGAAGCATAAACACGCAGGTCACACACACGTAAGCGTGGCTCTGAAAAGCAGATTTCTCACATATAACTCTACGGTGTGTTCTCATTTTAAAATGCCATGTTTTGGAAACATCTGGTACGCATGCAGTATGAACACACTAAGAATCCAGACTTATAAGGATAAAAACAATGAAGGTCTGCGTGCCTTATTTGCAAAAATATAAATACTGTGGCAGGCTACAACCTCTTCTAGATATGAGTGAGTGTATACGAGCGTGCGAGTGGGTGGAAGTGGAAGTGAAGGGGGGCGTTAAGCGCTGAGAAAGGGGCCCATCGTTCTTTACTCACATTCAATGTACTGCTGTAGCTGGATAAAGTCGACAGGGTTCAGTTCCTTTACTTCTGGCTGTGTGGGGGCAGACATGGTGCCTGCTTCTGCACAAACCGCCTGCCTGTGCGAGAGAAACAGTGAGACATAGACGGAGTGAAAAGAGAAGGTGGGCGCGTTGTAGCCTGCCTCTTTGTAGAACATAAAAGCACGGCTGCGAGCAAAAGATAGCATCTTCCATCTCGCTCTGTGAAATCCACGACTAGACAGGGAGAATTTCACCACGACGCACAAAGTTTGAGCGGCGCAGAGAGACGGACGATACGTGGAGCCGTGCCGAGCATCTGTACGCTGAACACGGGGTGCCTTTTTTCTTTTTTTGGTGAACACAATGAATGACCTTTTAATGACTTATTATAGCACTTGTTTCCTTGTTTGCTCTGAAATGGCGCTTCTCTGCCAAGAATTAACGGCCGGTGTTCTCACGTCTTTATTATCTCTCACCATCAGTAACATGTGACTAGCGACTGAAAACTGGGCCAAATGTTTGGTGGAAATGATGTCAGGTTAAAGCTCCCCATGATACTTGGACTTTAGGGATTCTCTGCACCTAAATTAGTTATTAGCTAGCTAATGTTTCATTTTTATGAAACACCAGATACAGGGAGCATTTGGTTCAGTTCAGCTGGAAGTGCAATGCGGTAGAAAAATTGAGGTAAGAGAAACAAACAAGTGTTTGTAGGGACCTCCCCTCCAAACAAAAAGGAGAAAATTAAATGTCATACAGAGCTGAGAGCGAGCATGTAGTTTGGAGTTTTGAAATAAACATGAAGTTCAATCATAATGGAGGAGATGGCCTAATAACAGGAAACAAAGAGACACGCGTATATGCATTAATCATTTAAGAAAGAGGAAATACAAGGTAATGGAGGGGAGAAAGACACCATCAAAACATCCTGTGTATTATTGCGGATGTCGATGCATGCCAGTAAAATACCAACGCACTTTCTGATCACGTCAAGGAGTTTTACCTGTCAGAAAATCGTTCCATGCAGATCTATCATCATCAAGCAATAGGACACTTTTCTCGGTTTTTAGGAGCTAACATTTGAGTTCAAGCAAAGCCACGTAATAGTTTGAGATTAAATAACACAATCTCCTCATTCGCAAACAATGGGGTTGAATTAATGAGCAATAAAATGCCTCTTAGTTGTTGTTTTTTAGGTCTGGCACAACTGGTAGCTTCTAATGGCTAACGTAAGCATATTGCAGATAGATATAATGGCAATTACTAATTAAATTGACTGACTTTTGTAAGCCACTTATAACGTATATAGTTTTCAGACTATAGATTTTTTTCCATCACAATGAATTGCATTACGTTTTGGCTTAATTACATTTGAAGGTACTGCGGTTGAGACAACAACCTCTCAAATCTGCACAAATTTTAATAGCCCACTGACCAATTTTTAAAAATGTATGGAAATCAATGGCAAATGGGGCCTGGAACACAGTAGGAAAGGTAAATGCGCAATGAGAATCCCTCAAATTCTAAATATACTGAACCTGGCAAACCATCTTTGAGGAGTTGAATTTGCACGTAGGCCACTGTAAATGTGATCATTCTATCATCAAATGCCCAAAACAGAAGCCCATAAAAGACAGTGTGGTGGTTTCAGTCCTGATGAATAGGACCTCATTATAATAGGTTTTTCACACCGTTGTACGCAGGTGTTATAACAAATTTAAGTGCAGCCGGCGCAGGTATCAGTGACGGCTGCCTGCGCTTCCGAGTACTTAAAAAGGACAAAGAACGTACTGCGAGAAAAAAAAATAATCTAAAATTAAAACCCACTCCTTACATGCCATTGTCTCTATTTGCGGTATATCTGGACTCTGAAAGGTTCACACTGTCCTCCCTTAATTCCCTAAAAGGTCAGCTGCGTTGCCTAGCAGTTCTGTTTATGCAGCCAATCAGGTGTGCCGGGTCTGTATCAGCAGCAAAGTGATACATGGAGGAATCATGAAAATCCATCTGGCACTGATCACCTGATCCTCTTTATTCTAAAAATATGATTCTAGCTCCGTCTTCAAATGCCGTCAAAACGAAGTAGTAAGTAAAAAATAGAAAAGACGCCTCGTATTTCATAAAAATCAGAGGAGCTGTTTGTCCGCTCCTGTTTTCATGCTTTCCAGAGGAGCGAGTATCATCATCATCATCGTCGTCGCTGTCTGGTTCAAGAAGACATCAAGCCAATCTGAGTAATCTGATTCCTCACTTCCTGATTAGATAATGATTTGCATGCACATTTGCACAGTGGAAATCAGGACCAGTCAAAACACGGAGCATAGGAAGCATTTTATAACACTTATGGATCAACAGTATGAATATTTTAGGTGGTTGGAGAAGGGTCTGAGGCTTGTTAAGACTTAATACAGGCCAGGTCGCAAACTGCATCTTGGCCCAGCTATCCAAAAGGTTATACTGGTGAGCTTAATGGGAATTTTAGATGCTTGATGACGCATCGGTTAAAATGGCTTTATAGGAACATTTAAGAGGTAGAGGCTCTGCAGACGTGATAAAGATTTAAATGTCGGCTCTACTGACAAAAAAAAAGAGGTATGATTCTGTTCGAACAAAATGTAATTCCATAAAATCAGTACAGCGTTAACAATGCTGGACATATTCTGCACAACAATACACACTAGAGCTGCGCTCTCCTGGCTTTATGAGGGGCCACTAGTGGTTCTTCAAAAAGACACATAAACCTCTGGAAAACCATCTGTTTAGAATCACACGCGCGCCTTGACTTCTGACCAAGCAAATGAATAATACCAAAGTAACTGCTACACAAAACAATTACAGGGAAATAATTGCAGACTTGCAGTGAACAGTTCAGGTGGCATTTCCCTTCACACGTGACCTCTTATTGTCTAAAACTGTCAACAACCGTACGTCACTCTCTTCACCGGAATCCTCTACAGGTAAACTTGGGCCACGACCTTTCTTTCAAAGCCGGCAAATATCTGCGCAAGATGTTATGACGCCCACGCCTTGTGTCATGGAAATGTGCTGTTTTGCAACAGCACTCGCAGGGTGCGAGCCGCCGACTGCCTCGCTCTGTGGTTGGAAAACACTGCGTAGGTTCTTCGAACAGAGAGCCAAGTCTATGTCTAACGCCGGGCCTGTGTGTTCCCCTCCTGCAAACTACACACATCTTCCCCGAAGTGTGTGTAGATTACATCAGGTTAGCAGAAGGGGAAGGGGGGGAGGGGGGGACAGGGGGGGGGGGGGCGGACATGCTCCGTTGCTATGGAAAAGTGTTTCCCTCCATCAGCTGCTCTCTGTCACATCAGAGCCACGAGTGACTAAGAGGTAGAACGAGGCAGAGAGGGAGGACGCCGACATGGGAAAGAAGAGAGAGGGGGGGGCAATCCGTCTAGCTGTGAGTCCCACCCTCCCGCCCCACCCGCCCGCGGATTCAACTCCACCTACGCAATAAACCGCGTTTGGCCTTCAAAACCAGAGGCCACGCTTTAACTTGCCTTCTACATGCAGACGCTACTGTGAGTCATTGCGTCAACACACCCTCACTGCTGTAAACGGTCTGTTTGCCTCGAGGAGAGACGGGGGAGGTGGGGGGGGGTGGTGGGGTCACCCTGCCAGCCATGTCAGGAGTTCCACACGAGCAGTGCAGTAATGTGTGACTTCTTGGAACTATTATGGCAAGGAGCCACGCGTATGCAGCTCTAGAGCTGCAACCAGTAACCACGACTTCCCCTGGTTGTTTTTTTTCTTCTTTCTGTTGTTTAATTATATTAAATATTGCTGTTTTTTGTGTACTGAAGGGCGTGTTGATGAGCAGAAATAAAGTTTGAATATACCTTTGCCTCAATATGCGTCCTGGGTCCAGCTGGTGTACGATTCATCAAGTGAAAATGCAAAACCCCGGGGTTGAATCTAATGCGCATGCTAAACCGGAGCTAAACAGGGTTTCCCTCGTCTACTGCTATTGTGTGGACATGTTTGAATAATCGGCGGGTATGCAAACTACAGGAGGCTAAAGTTAGTAGAAACCTTGGAGAACCTCAAGCACAATCAACATGGGTTGTAAATCTCACCAAAACACTGAAAGGGAAAAACAACAAAAGACTTTCACCACAGAATGAATCACACATTCTTGGGAAAATGTGGGCGAGGCTCTGCTCACTCTCGGGCTTCAGAGCGAGGGGACTGCACATCACTCGGAGTTCAGACTTGAATGTGAATTATATAATCATTTTTTATTGTGTGTGTGGAGGGCAGCCTTATAGAACACCGCGCTGTGCTCAGGGAACATAAACCTCCAACCTGCTCAGACTTGAGGGAGTGCGTGCTGTCAGACAGCAGCCACGTGACCGTGATCCACAACTGAAAAATAAAACGGCACTTTTTTCAATGATTTGAACTGAGAGTAATGACTCGTGGGAGCGAAAGTGGTTAAAGTCATAGTCCGGAGCACAGGACTCCGGCATACTCGAGGGGGATAACTGAAGGAAGTGAAGGCTTACTAGAAGATACAAACTACTGGATTTAGAGAAGGGAAATAGTTTACAAACAGCATGTATTCCCACCATTCACACTAGCTACGCAAAATAGCCACAGCTGACATTTACAAGCCTAAGCGCAGATTGCAAAGTGTGGCTGCAGTTAAACCCTCTAATGTAAACATTAACAATGGGAGAACCGTCCTGACTACAGTATTGATTGTCTGTGCCTGAAGAATCATGCAGATCAAAACAGATGAATTCCACAGAGACGCCACAGCTTTTAACTAATGTGATTGCAATAAAGACACAGCTCGAGCGGGAAACTATCACCTGGAAATGAGGTAGTTAAAAAGGAGAAAGTATCCGGTTAATCCTGTTAATTCGCTTTCCCAATTTGCAGACAGGTGAGAGGACTGTGGAGGAATTTGTTATCCAAACAGAAGACACAAACACAAAGGGAAGCTGCTGAGGTGTTTCATGTCCATTTCAACAGGGAGGCATCCTGCAACCTAATCTCAGATGGGTCATAAATCCAACCAGGAATGGGGCGGTTGACCTTTTCACTCAATGCAAAAGTGATCAATAACGCTGCAGCATGTGTGGTTAAATAAAAACGTACAGTGGAGTTCTTTGCATCTAAAGTATACACTCCTCCACCTGCTTCAGATCTCTGTGATCTCCCATCTGGGGTATGAAGGTCTCTATATAGCAGCTGCAAAGGGAACTAGAACCATGAGGTTTGAGGTTTTTGCTGTTGTTTTATTTAAGGGCAAATGGGCGTGCATTGGTATATCTGTGCTCTCTTGTCTGTTGTTCGGCTGAGTGAATTACTGCGCAATTATCACACGATTGACTATTCGCTCAGCGCACGGAGCGGAAAGCTTTCGATTCCTAAAATACGCAAAATTGTTGCAAAACAGTAGCAGAAATAAACACAGCAGCAGGCTGAAATGCCTCGTCTGTAATAGACCGAGGGGCAGTATCGTTCAGGGTTTAAACAGAAACTTCAATCAATCCGTAGAGTCCGGACCTCTTTACTGTTTGTATTTCATAATCATTTACCTTTTTTTATACTGTCGCCACTCGGTCGTTTCGTCTCAACGAGGTCGTCGTCGTCCGGTTCAACAAACCGGAACAAAAGAAAAATTTAAAAAAACAGCTTTCTGCTTTCTCGAAGCGGGTCGTTATAACTTCAAACGGCGAGAGAAACGGCAGCGGCGGGCGCGCGGAGTGGAAGCAGTGAAGTCACGCAGGCAGCGGATCCCTCCCGCCACAGAGCGCCGCCTCGGCCGCGGCGCGCGCGACACGCAGATCCCGCGCAAAGTTGCGGGAGTGAACGCTCGTTTAAATGTGTCGGTTAAAAAACTGCTACAGACGACTCGTCCAAAGAAACGGGGAAAGGGCAACAAAAAGCAGTTCACCGTGAAGACGTTTTTATACATTTTATACATTGTGTTATTGATTAATTGATTTCTCCATGTTCCATATCTTGAGAGCGTATGCAAATAACGTCATGTATCATGGACTCCTTACTGCCATGATTTGGTGTTAACATGCTACAAGAGCATGACGCGTTAGCTCTGAGTGAGTGTAATACTACACGAATTACACTGAATATTCATAAAAAACAAATTTGCTCAAACATAAAACCGTAAAAGGGAGGCCACTGTAACAAAAAAATTAAAATGAATGCTAGCTAACTAACTGTAGTTCAGTTTAACATTTGAGGGGTTGACGTTGGCATAGCCATGGCTAACGTTAGCTAAGGTAACATCACTTTTGCAAAAGCATATGAAGACGACTTCTCCGGATTTATAATATATAATGCATTTTTATAAATTAAAATACCCAAGAACATTATTCCCTTATACTTAATTGCCGATGCCACCCTTGTACTTGTAATGCCTACCATAAATACATTATATATATTATTTCATTTTCAAACCATGTATTTTAACTTATTTTATTTCTTAGCTTTTTCTCAAAATGGTCATTGCTTTTGGACTACTTCTCTGGAATAGTTTGTTATAAAAATGACTTGAAACCAATGGGCATATTTTTAGTGTGGTCCTTCTTTTATTTAATGAATACTTCCTCCACTGGGCATCCAGGCCCTAAAAATGTGTACCGCACATGTTGTAGAAATGTTCATCAAAACAGATTATTTAACATATTCCGAGGTATACTCAGAATGTGACTGCTGTACGCCTTACAGCGACCAACCACATCACAGGCTAATGTTTGTAGACAACAGGGTAAAGCACCGGATTTCACATTCCAGTGACCACAATGGCGAGGGATTAGGCTCCACAATGAGGACCAGGCCGGCACGAGAGCATAACAGACATGGAAAACATGTGGGTGTCTGGGCTAGACATAGAAAAGGAGAGTGACACAGGTCAGAGCAGACAGACCTTCGTCCCAATTTAAAAAAATTATTTCCTCTTTGAATTATATTGACCTGGAACAACAGCATTTCACATCTCCTCATAGCCCAGATTTTGGAAAACTTGTTTACTCTACACTGTTGTAGAGTGTTGTAGAGAGAATGTTTTTATCTAATCCTTTCAGCCAATGTGCCCTGAAGAAATCTCCCACCCAGTGGATCTCTGATGACATGGTGTGGTTAAGTAAGGAACTGCGTTATCTTCATAATTAAAATGCTTAATATAAAATCTTATCACATTGAGGAAATATTCTTTTGGGATGAAGTTTGAAATGTTTTATTACTTTCTTGTCTGTACAACACAGTACATAACAGACACAAAACAAACAAAAACAGTTAAGAGGAAAAATAATAAAGGGTACAATATAAACTGATGTATACTGCACGTCTGTGGGCTTTCATACTGGGTGGTTGGAGTCGTTTGTCTTACTACAGCAATAACTGATCAATGGCGAAACATTTTACCCTTCAAAAGCCGTAAGAGTGACTTTACAAATATTTGACATTCTCCGAGCTATGGTTCATGGTTTGCAGACTGTAAAGGAGAAGATCAATGACTATATTTCAACTGTCGGAAACAGAATTACCTAAAATATTTAGTGAATCCTTATGATTTGTCAAACAAATCTCATTATAGACAATTTAAATCTCAAATGTTAAAACTGCTAGTTTAACACTTTAACTGGACCCAACATACCATACAGACTATATTTACAACTGAGGCAACAGAGAAAACACAAAACCCATTTTCTTCCTGCAATGAACTTCAAATGCACCTAAAAAGGCAAATTTCCATACATCAAATGGTAACATTTTCAAGCATGTTTGTGTAAAAGGCAACATAATAAATAAAACAAATGGCACAGAAGGTTTAGACAATCAAAACTCAGAAGCACAATGTCTTGTGGAATATTCACAAGAAACTAAAAACTAAAGCACACAACAAAAATCTTCAGAGTCAACAAATTGACAAAACAGAACTGAGATAAAACAAAAATCACAATCCAATTACAGTGAGCGGAATAAGAGAATGACATTTATAATTCAATATAGTATTTGTATTTACAAGCATTTATACAACAGAGAGCATTAAACTGGAGTTTAAGCTTATTACTATATTAGGACATGGAGCAGAACAATGAGATCGTTCACTGCACCAAAATATAAACCTTGTAAACATCACATCTCACCTTTAATCTCAGATATCAGTCAGATTAAGTTTCTATTAGCCAGGTTCCTAATATATATTTGTCCTTACTTTAAGGCATAGGTATCAAGCGTAGGATTGAGCCTCTTATAAGATATTCTTTGAAATAAGCCAGATTCAATCAGAAGGCTTTTTTTCGCTCCAAACGAGGAACGCTCTACTCGTCTCAGCGAAACCCCTCCCCCTCGCCGCCGGGCCAAACGTCTTCCCGCTCGCCTCTGGACCAGGTCAGTACGCTGTAAAAAGTTATAAGATCTCCTCCACTCCGTGTGCAAAGATCATCACCAGGCCCGGCTCCAGGATCATGTCCTCCCCCATATGCTGATTCTCGCAGGCCATCACCACCACGGCCTGCTTGCCAGGGATCCGCTTGGCGACGTAGTTCTCGTAGTAGCGCCTGTTCATCTGCCGCGTCTCCAGCGTGGCCAGACCCTGCGGCCAGTTTCGCTCGTGGGCGTTCTCGATCAGGTCGTTCACGATCGAGAGAGGACAGCCGCTGTCGATGAGGGAGCGCTTGATGACGGCCTGAAGCACGGCGTCGGGGGTGGAGATCATGCCCCCCCAGCGTGTCACTCTGGCAGGCTGCATGGAGTTCACCCACCTGAAGATGAGGTAAAAAGGGAAGATTAGGGACAGAGCGACAACTCTCGGACAAAGGTAATATTAAAATACAAGCATTGGATGGGGTGACATTTTACTTACTCCAAGATCTCGTTGTACTCAATGCTCTCCTCGAGGTTTTGGAGATTAGGATTAGCACTGCGGATTGCTCTCATGTAGGCTTTTAGCAGCTGAATGTCCCGTTTCTGGAAATTAAAAGCATCATCTATATTGACTGCTATCACAAAATACTCCAAATCAATTTAGAAAAGGGCCTATTAGTAATATCACTGATCCAAACTCTTTTCAGGACTCCAATCAATGCCATAGAGGATGCAAATGCACAGCATGTTGGGATCCGCTATGCCTGCACATTTTAACACTAGCCTGTTTTTAAACAAAGCAATCATCATGATGGAGAAACATCCATATTTGTCTATATTAGTCCTGCTTCTGAATGTGTACGTGTGGCATGTTTAGCTGAGAAAAGAGAGTAGCCTTTACTATACGACAAATATTTGCAAAGCAAGTGAAGACGTAATACATTTAAAATTTCACTGATTTCCCAGACATCCTAATTAGACGGGCTACCTCGAAAGTACTTTTTCAACGGAACGATTGCGCAGTGAGCATTAAAATGTCAACTGAAAGCACTTTATTTTCCATGTACGCCGCACAGACATTCACAGGCCTAATGAATGAACTCTATTACCATTCTGCTTTTTACAGCACAGCCATCTTTACTTTGCAACCACAAACTAATCAATGCGGTCAAAGAAACCAGACTATGTCTACAGGCACCTACGAAGGAGTAAATAAATAAGAAACAAATGACTAAATTAAGGGTCTGATAATTCTTCATTGTAAAAGATACGATTAGTCAGGAATGGGCAAGATGTTGGTTTAAACAGATCGATCTGATTTTCTCATTAGTACACGATGGAACGAAAACATTACAACTAGCCAGAAGCCACCAAATTTGGGCTGTACTGCCAAATTACCCCCCCTTTAGCAGGCTTCTATTTCCCTTTAATTAGTCCGTATTCTCTTGGAAAGCCCTGTAATAGCAGTGCCTTATGGGGTAAACAGATAATTATATATTAACATTCTACTTCTTTGTTAGATAACTGTAGAGGGAAAAAACTCCTAGGTCTCATTGACGAATTAAGATAAAATCGAAGCCACAAATCCGCAGACTCACTGTCAATATAAAGTAATTATGGAACTATGCTCATGAACCTCAAAACCTGTTCCACAGCTTGCTACATACCATATTACATACCACATACCAAACTTAATAAAGTAGTTTGCAAGAAAAATAAGCAGGAAAATGTTCTTACTTGTTCCCCCAACTGGTGTTTATGCTCCACTACCGTTTTCTCCAGGTCCGCAATCTTTGTCTGTTGCTGCTGGACGACGCTCCGCAAGTGTTTAATACAGTTATGGTTGGGCACCTCATCTTTAGGCATCTCATGCCTGAAAAAGTCAGGGAGTAAATAGAGGATTTAGAAGAATACCATAAAGAAACACACACATTGAACAGTGACAAATATTCATCTTGGCTGAGCAACTGCGGTGTTCTGATTAGCTTCACCTGACATGTCCCTGGAGATTTGTGACGCTTGGGTTCCAAAGGGTTACTACAAATTAATAATTGACGTACCCGACGGCTACGATGCATTGTTCCTCTCCACTCACCCACACCCCTCCTCGCAGTTGACAGGCCTTTTGGGGTTATGTTCACAGTCCTTGAGGTGCGATTGCAGCTGGTCCAGCCGCAGTGTGGCCGTGCAGCCGAAACCTGCGTTGTCACAGCTGATCTGAAGTTTGGACAGCATGTTACGCATGATGCGGGGCACCGGTCGAAGGTGAGCTAGCGTCACGACCGTGCGATCAACGGGACATATCTGCTGCTGGGCAAACCACTGCGTTATGCAGGCGTTGCAGAAGGCATGCTCGCAGTGTGGAGCCTGAAAGGAAAAAGGAGAACACAGAGCCCGAAAAATAAAGCCTTTGAAATGCGCCGGGATGAACAGGAGTGGGGTAATCTTTCAGACAGGATCTTGCCTGCACTGGTTCTTCGAGCACTCCACTACATATAGGGCACAGCAGGTCTTCATCCACCTCCCCTTGGAACCTCGTAATGTCGTACCCCATGGTACATTACTGGTGTCCACAACCTCCTGGGGGGGAGACAACAACATCAAGGACATGTGATTTTCAGGCAAGTAAAAATGCATATGGTATAAATGTATATAAATACTTTGAACCTACCTCACTCATAAAAGGCCTCAAACGCTTCCATTCAGCTCTCAATGCAAAGCTGATACATCACATCTGGCAGCTCTAATCTGTCTGGTGACACAGACACACCCACTGCCTGCAAAAAAAACAACGATATCCACACGGATTATTTGGTTTTCAATGTATTGGATGGCTTATTGTTTCGGCTGAGCTGAGATACACACTCTAGATGACATTATGATCCAAAGAAATGCTGCTTACTTACAGACATAATTCAATTACCGGGATCTAGCGATGCATTCGGATCATAATCAGAGGCAAGCTGTGCTCTTAACCACGATAACTCGACACAAAAGGAAGCAACAGAGGGAATCTTGCAATGCGGCATAAATATATTGGGTTATTAAATATATAAAAGCATGAAAGCACAGCCATGTTCGAACACATCCGAGAGCCAACAAGTGAAATCCTCGATGCGTGACGTTGGCGCGGCTGTTAGTGTGTAAAACAGCACCAGCCGAGATTCGTCATCCCAGGAGACCGTCCTGTTGTCCCGGGTGACTTGTCGTGGCTGACCTAAATTCCGTGAAAACGGTACACACCGGTTCGGAGGGGACGCACAGGTCCCCCCTATCGCACTCAGCATGCCTTGCAAACAAGCTAACGCCTCCGAGCTAACGCTAGCTAACGTAACGTCTGTGATGTTTACTTCAACGTTGTACATTTACGCCGAATCGCACGCTATTTGAGTTTGTGACGAGCTGCACTCGTGTCACGCTGAGCGGACACCAGTAAAGCTGGAGTTCAGAGGTCAGCAGAGCTTTCTCACCATGAATTAAACGAGGCGAGCGCCTGCAGCTCAAAGTGTAGCGCTGGTAGCGCCTACTGTACCGTTGGTTTCCTCTGGACATTAGCCGTCCAGCTAACCGCTCAGTCCGGAGCGACTACGCCGACAAACGGCTCATTACGACCACGACCACCGGAAGAAAACGCTGTAACGGACTGATGGACTCACTTGAACGTGTAAAAGAACAGATCCTGATGCCGATGTTTGTGTGTTTTCTGACGCCCTACTGTTGCTAGTAGCTCGCTCGCTAGACACGTCCCGTGCTACATCCTACACCTCTGCGTCGTCGTCGATACGCAAGCGGGCGGATACGTCATGACGTACAGCGGCGGGCTTTTGATTGGTCCGTGAAATCAATCAATCAATGGAATCTTGGAAGCGTTTAATCATTTTGTTCAAAGAACCCTTTAATAAACACATTTTCTACTGTAGACAGAATTAGAAATACGCTTGATTACATAAAAAATGTTATATTTTACACTAGCTGTCATGCATCAGCTGAGCACTGTGATACTTTGTGTATGACTGAATGATGTGTGGAATTCATTTATAAATGAATTGATTTCGGTAGTGTGCATTTTCCCTGTTTGTGCAATGTGTTTCCAACATCAATAGATCGCTGCCTCATTTCACCTGCACGCGGACTTTTGTGTCGTTCAGGTTCGAGAGTAAACACCGCAAAGTGTTCAACATTTGTCCTCTTTTTGTCTCAATTCATTATCTCCCCCCCCCCCCCACTCCTTCTCCTCCCCCCCAAAAAAGACACATTCTCAGCGATGCACCGTTGCAATTCTCTGTAGGAGACAAACCGTCAGGAACGGAGTAACAGCCAGCACGGAGACAGTAATTGCACTGCACCAGAATGTGACGACATGGCAGGACAGAAGGAGCAGCACATTGAAAATATGAGTCATCATCAGTCACTACCAGTGTTATTTTAAGTCTTCACAATGCCTGTAGAATTTAATCTAGCCCTCGGCAATGTTCGCCGCAGTTCACGGTTAATGGACAACCATGTGTAGATTTGTCTTTTTGACTTTGAAATTACATTTCTGACAAAGTATTAAAGTGGAACCCTGAAGATCCTTGTTCAGTTGTGACGTTTTCACATTGAAAATAATATTTGATTCAAACTTTTAAGGACAAATAGAAGCATTTTACCCCCCAACTGTATTTAGATTTATAGCTGGGAGCTAGTCCATGAAATTTGACAGAAATGCTAATTCCGGGTGAACGACGCTTGTAGAACTAAATGATCCAAACCACTGATTCACCCTCAAAAAACAACTTCAAACTCAAGAGGTATTTAGCAATAGCACTTTATTGAACACAAACAACCCTAAGCCACAATACTGAATGACAAGACCAATTGGCTGCAGCAAACATTTTATAAAATAGATTTAGGTTTAATGTCACTAAATTGTTTGTTTTTTCTTCTTCTTCCTTTTAACGTCAGAAAGACAGATGCAGGTTTTTCCAAAACAGTGAATGATCTTTTACATATTTAACATTTCTGTAACAAATCATCATTCACATGTTCACACAAAGGAATAACAAGGCAAAGTGCTTTCAGGATTGCATTGTCAAAAACAGAAAAACGAATGGCTTGAGGTTTAGGTGTGACATTAGGTGGGTGAGGAAGGGAGAAGGGAGGAGGAGGGGGGTGGGGCAGTGGGGACGGACCCACCCTGGTTCAGGTGTGGGTGGATGGGTTGGTATGGGAGACCCTGGTCAGTAAACCTCAAACCTTTCACCTCGTCCTGTACCCCCGCGTGGTCAAACCGGATGTAAAACGTCAGGGCAGTGTGAAGACAGGCGCCTGTGTAGCGGAATTTGGTTCGGCGTGGACAAACGGATTCAAAAAGGCATACGGCTCGAGGGGCTCAAACTCGCCCCCGTACAGAATTACGAATCCACCCCGGCTAATCTTCTTTGAGACCACGTGTGGTATCATTACAACTGCAGGGCAAAAATCGATCGCTGGCCCAGAATGAAGCTGTAAACGTTGAAATGATGCTCGACAAAAAGGGCTGGACAGGGACGTATACGTACAGGAGGAATCCAAAGAAATACGTGGTGTTCAACAAAAAAAAAAGAAGAAGCCAATGCACAGTTGCTTATTTTCAAAAAAGATGACTCCTCTGACCATTCGCCACTGAATGTTAAAGGGGATAGACTATCTTTATAATCATAACATTGTCTGGCTTCACATTCCAGTGGTAATTTGTCGTATAAATGCTTCTCATAAATATTTATTCAAATAGACATATACACATACAGCACAACCAAGCACACCTTTTTTTAAATGTTTTACTACCATTGCTTATGATAAATCTGTATTCCTGTACTGCGAATAGATTTGTTTTACTTTTTTTGAAGTCAGAACAGGCGAAGCGACAAAACAATACTCACGGCTGCAAAACAAGGAGGTAGGAGAAATGCTACTGAATAACAGCGAGTGATGCTAACGTGATCGTTCACTTAAATAAATGTGAGACTCGGCTTCGGCTCAACTTCTTGGAAGTGCCAACAGTTGCTGTTCCAGTCAGTGTTTTAACAACTGCAACGTTAAATTTCCCCCTTTTACTGACCGCCGTAAACGCACACACGAGAATCCGAAGGCTCCAGATGAAGACTGGTGTAGCTGTTGTAGCTGTTGTATTTATCTCAGAGGCCCCTTTTTTGCCTCACAAAAATTAAAATTGAGTCTTATCGTCGTGTTTTCTGCCTGGTCATAAAAATAGTCTAATTTCAACAGAGCAACTTCATTGCTCGTGTTGTCATCACAGGTGGAGAAGCCACGCTGCTGGTGATGGCATTGACTCCTTTACACACAGTAGAATAGTATATTTGCAGATTTGTAAATGAGGTAATCAGCGTTAGGCTAAATAAGGAACCCTGTCATTGACACACATGCCCACTTCATTCACCAGCAAAAAAAAAAAAAAAAGATTTCCTCAATCAGCGGGACTAGAAAATCAAATCAACTTTGGAATGTTGGGATGGATGAGCTCACCGGTCTTTTTTTTGTTTGTTTGTGAAGCAGCACTGTAAAACTATTTGATTGTAACCCATCACATGCCCTGATTCAGAGTCCCTCCTCTGTATCTCCCCCAGATAAGCCACTCAAAAGCAAACAGGACAACCTTTTCTCTAACCGTCGCCCCCCCCCCCCTTCTTTTTAATTGCCGCAGCAGCAGATCGGGACCGGCTTTAAGTCCAGTTGCGAATGGATTGTTAACAGCTCGCCAGCTGCAATGAATAAGGGGCAACATCTACAGTGAAGAGGACTAAACGCAAGCACACGAAAAGGGACTAGCCGCTACCAAAATGTCACAGAACATGCAGTATTACATCCTTTACTACGGTAGGCTATTCCTAATAGCACATCAAAGGGGGCTCCCTAATGGGTAAACTCTGTGATATGGCTCTGCTTTGGAGAAATCAAGCTTCGCTGCGAGAGGACGACTTCCATCCCGGTCCGTAGTCAAGTCTATAAAAAGGTGCTCCATCAAGAGATCGCTGCCTCATTTCACCTGCACGTGGACTTTTGTGTCGTTCAGGTTGGAGAGTCAACACCGCAAAGTGTTCAACATTTGTCCTCTTTTTGTCTTAATTCATTATCTCCCCCCCCCCCCCCCCAAGACACATCCTTTGCTGGTGAAAACAAACGGCACTTTCAAAAAAGGGGAATGTTTTTCTAAAACCACAATCACAGGACCGCCAAGTAACAAATTCTGAAAACACATACGCTGTACAGAAGATATAAATCTCATGAGTTTGTACAAGCTTTAGGCTACACGCTGAAAAGGGAGGGAACACGCAAGAACCCTTAATGCTTAACATTGAAAACAAATATAAGGCATTTCATAATTTCCTTTTATCCGCATACATCACTGACAGCAGGTCTAAATATGTTTGAGAAAACATTTCATTCAAAAGAGGAAGAGGATGCATATACACATCTACACATGCAAATGAAAATGTCCGCCGGCTATAAACCGGAAGCCCAAAACTACAACAGCATCAAAGTCCATCAGCGAAAATAAAAATAGAAATTACGCACCTCCTCAAATCTGTCAGTCAACTTGTGCAGGCAGCTTTTAAAAGTCGGATATCACAGTTTTGAGAATGAAATACCAAACACTCAAACACTCCCAAATGCCACCTCTCTGGACACAAACTGAAGGACCACTTGAGATCCTTCATGTGCTACAGATTAGTGACTTCTGGTGTTAACAAAAAGGGCATATTTTAATTTTTTTCTCTTTTTCCCTTCAACTGAGGAAGCGATAATAAGCAAAAAGGTTATTGCACTTTTTATCTTTTGTCTATTTCAAAACGAGGTCAGCTTGAGAGAAGAGGATTCATGCCTTAATGTCGTCGGTGAGACCACAAATGTTACGTCACTTCTACAGTATGATCACACAGTTATTAACACCGCACACAGCTACTATCGCAAACCCTACTCGTAGTCAGTCTAGCCTAAATAACACAAAACAATCTCTACAATCGATTTGCAACACAGTCACAACAAACGGTTTGCCTTAACTCGATCTGCAATGCACGGACCGCCTCACAACTCCGCATTGTGAGCTTCCTAATCGTCGACGAACACCGTGGAGAACAAATCAGAACGAGGCTCTGAGATTCCAGACACTGGTCTTTCTACAGTTAATGTCGTACTGACAAAACTCGTGTTCTCGAGGAGTCCAGTGGGTTTTTTTCCCCTTCGCGGGTTTGCCTAAAATTTGGTGTAAAGGCGCCTTGATGTTGGGAGAGCCAGCCGAGCCCCCAGAGGTGCCTTCTTTGGATTTGTGCTTTCGTACAACCGATCCCCCATCCAGTCAATGCTGGATGTGCCTGAAATCGCAACAGTAATGTGCATTTTATTCTGCCCGCCCCCCCCACTCCTCCCCAGACTAATACAGAAGGCTTTTCTTTTCTTTTTGTTCCTCGGGTCACATTGGGTTGAAATAATCAAGCTCAGAGGGAAAATGAGCCGTGTCGTGTACTTTCAGTGTAATTTTTTTTGTTTTATCCCATTATAAGGCTTCTGGGAAATACAAATGGAAGACCGTACCTTTCGGTAGTAACGAATAAAAAGGCACCATGCCACCACTGTGCTCAATATCACACAGGTCCTATTGGGGGGGTGGGGGGGGAAGATTAATAACCAACTGTTCAGGTGGGGAAGGTGGTCAAACTAGCATTAGTCAAACAGTCAAATTGTATCGTTTTGACTTTCAGAGGTAAAGTTTTATAGCTACTTTCATTCCCCGCCTTAAATTAGACTGAATCCTTTACCCTTTGACTCACGCAAGATAATAAGACTCATCTGTTGGTCGTAATGAAGAGAAAGAGTTAAAACCGCTTTTCTGTTAAAAAAAAAAAAGGGGGGGGATGTTCGTAAATGTTGTGACATGCATATATTGAAAGGTCTCTCACACACAAACTACAAGAGAGAAATCGACACCACTGGCATGAGAAGAAATCACAGAGGAGAAATGTCAGCGTCGTCACACAAAAGATCACTGATGAGGTAAAACTGCAGGTCCAATAAAAAGTACAAGGTGCAGTTGGCGGCCTGTTTGTAAGGTAGGAAACATGAGACATCTGCCCACACTGATCCAACGGTTTAAGCAGAATTACACTACCCACAAACTGAGAGACCACAACATTTCAACTCTTTGTTAGCAAAGCTGTACAAGCATTTTTGCAATATAAATTTACTTTCCATCCAACCTATTGTTTTTTTGAGGTACACCACTTTTATCTGCAGGGAAATTTGGGCTCTGGATGACACAGAAGCCGAAGTCGATTGGGGGGTGAATTCTGAATTTATTCATTCACAGTGGCAAATATGGCGATATCCTAAGCAACAAATCTCTGCACCATGGCAACCTTGAGCGATGTGCTACCTCAATAGACGTGTGTGCTTCTAGACACCCAAAATAAGCCATGAATTCTTTGTTTTACAGCAATCCAAGCAAGCGGTATAACTCGACAGATGTTGCAACTTATCAGGTACTGCCAGGTATCATTTCCCTTTTCAGCTTTTAAGGCAAAAGGCTCCAACAGTGGATCACAGAGTTGAATGGAAATTTGCCATTTACTTCAAGTAAGAACCGAGACATCCATTGAGGCAAATCAATTCTATACCAATATATGCTATGCTTTTTTTTTGGGACATCATTTTTTTTTCTCTAGGTAACGAACACACACACACACACACACACACACACACACACACACACACACACACACACACACACACACACACACACACACACACACACACACACACACACACACACACACACACACACACACACACACACACCCACCCCTTGTTTAACGCCCAACCAAGGGATTGCTTTGCCAATACCAAAGGGACCAACTTGTATTCTTCAAAAATGTCCAATTATACAATAGACTTTAACAAACACCAACGCGTTAACAAAATACTTGGATTTAAATACTAATATCCCATGCACAGATTTCTTAGACGAATATAATTGGACATGCAGCTCCAAACACAAAATGTTAATAACCCTGCCTACTTCTGAATTAGTTACTGACCAAGTAATAATGATTTATGTCTAAAGGCAAATAAAGGTTTCTATGGCACTAAATGGGTGTAGCTTAGGTGCATTTTTGTCAAATATAGGCTATTAACAAGTATGTGTGATCATATCTACTGTCGACCTCCCCCCCGTTTTACTGTAAGGCAATCTCAATGGAATGGATGAACGTGAATGTTAAATTCATCTAAACTCTTGTCTTCAGTTTACCTTGTAGGCTACACTCCACACAAATATATATATGTATGGAGACAGAGAGATTTTATACAACAGCAGGCCTATTCTCCAACAATGCCACAAAAAGAAAAACTATCCAGACCATCAATGCAGGAAGACGACTCTACATACTGTATCATTTGTAGAGAATTCAGTTATTACATGCTACCTGTATAGTCATATCTACACAAGACAAATGAAGAGCAACAGTTTAAAGTCGGGAGAAAGCTAATTATCCTTCTCTAAACTGACCCGACATTCATTTAGTTAGAAAAAGGTAATGGCTCAGATTTGATGGTCAGACTGTAAACTGCTGGAACGTATGCATAAACCCATTGCTGCTTTTCTAAAGAGGTTCTCTCCTCTCGACACATTTTTGGCAATTAGGCCTTATTAGTGAAGATTATAACATCCAACCTTCTCAGCATTTGAATCTTCCATTGGCATTTATGCGATGATTTAATGACTTGGCCTACACGGACGGCAGTGCAATGTTTGTGCTGCACACAATCTCTCTCACACACACACACTCTCTCTATTGCTACAATTGGACTTTTCATTGCTTCGCCGTTTCTGACACCAGATATATTGTATACTCCACTCGCTTAGAATTGTTACGATATAAAAATTGTGATCTAGCTCCATGCACGATTACTCAAACATCACTAGTACGCGAAAAGAAAAAAGCCTGTATAAGAATACTGCAATACAACAAAGGGATTCAGTTACAACTTGTACAGTTGTAGGGGCTCTGTTTACTGGTAAACTCACAAGAGGAGAAGGAATAAAACCAAACAAGGGTCTGAGAGCACCTAGCGATGTGGTAGCGGGTTTGAGGAGCCTGCCTGAGGAGTCGGTTGAGCCACTCGACTGACTTTAAGCAACGGAGGCCACAGTCTGTGTGGCTAACAGTAGGCTGGGTGAGGAAACCTTGTCACTTCTTTTGGGGCTGGTTGTCCAGCCATAAAACACAATAATAAAGTCAGCGGGCCATACCCCGAAGTACTTGGAGACACTTTTTTTTCCTTTTATAAATAATGCATTATTAGAGTACAATTTTGTTACAGCCTTTGCTTGTCTGTTGGAACCCTACCTTCCTGTATTCAGCAGCAACACACATGCATGTAAACATAAGTACATACATTACATCTGCTCTATTTTGCACACTTTGAACCTGAATGTACTAAAGTGCGTTCTTGACTATCTAATTAAGTGCTGTGGGATTACGGTTAAAAAGGAATTAAATTATGGAACATCCCATCAAAAGAAGAAAAAAAAAAATGTAGACGTAACCATCCTGCTGAGATCTGATTGGATTAACAAATTCTGCCTGCTGCTATTTCAGCACAGATCCTGAGATTACAAACCCTTTTGTACCTATCCCGAATGTTCATAATAATAATGTAGTTTTCTCATGAAATTCGAGAGAACAAAGGCCGGGGATCACCAGTTACAGACACTCCATTTCATGTCAGTCAGTTATGGAGGTCAATTGAAATGCAAACTATGAAAGTATGACACTGACAAATAAATGTACTGAAACATTTGCCATTTTTTGTAAATTATGTCAAATTCAAGATTTTTTGCAGGGGTATTTAACGACATCTACCAGTCTAGGTTCACATCGCTCAGCCAGTCCACTAATGTGTGCAATTGTGCCACTTCATTACCAGCGGATATGACGTAATCACACCGATGACAACAATCCAACGCAGTGTAATTTAACCACCAGCAGATGGTCTATAAAACCCAACATAAAATAAGAACCGACAAAGTAGCATTAGATAGAACATCTAAAAGTCACAAACAGCTCTAGTGGTCCGATACAATCATCTTTAGTACCAGAAATGGAAGGAGACAATAACACGAACACCAAAAAAAAAGCACATATTTGGATTTCTGCTATTCCTGAAATCTAAACAACAGGTATTGGCCTAAGCAAAGATCCCTCTCCATTTCCCTCCAAGCCCCATCTGCCTTCATCAGGGATATCAACTTCATGGTCACTTGATAATCCCGGGGACATATGAACATACGCCGGGCAATTCCCCCTCCGAAAGAGACTATGAGTGCAACTGTGGTTCAATGCTGTTGCTCTCAAATGGGCGCAAAGATAGTCGCTCTAAGGGCTCATCTTATTCTGCCATTATGCGATCCAACTGAAATGATGTGTTACAGAAGGCATGGGTCAAAAAGGCATTTCATGAGACGCCGTAAAGGCAATCCAGTGCATTTGTGTTGACACTGACAGTAAAATGCCCCGGCACACACAGAGCCATTCGTTTAGTCTTTAGGTAATTTTCCATGAAATAATAAGGAACGAAAACAATAATCAAAAAACACATTCCAGGGAAATAAAAGCCCTTGTGACAGTGATTGTCTATTCAAAAACGTTAAACCAAAAAAGGCCAAAAGAAAATATTGCTTGAAAACTGCCCAATAAAAATAGCAGACATTACTCTTTAGCTGTTCAAATGGATCGGAGATGACCACCGAGACGTGGAGATACGAGCTAATGGATGTTTAAGTTCACCAGCTCCAAGAAATACTCCTTTAGTGAGTTTGTTAAAACCACAAAGCTGATGGCCGCTTCAACCTACAAAAACAAAACAAAAAAAAAAAAAAAAGCGTCACGAGTGCCTAAAAACCCAAACTGATCGCTCCCTTTCAATAATTAGGCCTTCTGAATTTGGAAATCTTTCCCAAAAAAAAACACTGTTAAATAGATGGGAAATAAATTGAAATGGCTTGTTCATTTATGTGCTCAGATATATGAAGCTTTGATGAGGTGTTGTTGGCAGATATTACTAGGAAAGCCTTCATCTAGAACTAAACAAGGCCTCAGTCAGTCCCTATCCTACAATAGTTCTCCAAAGAGAGAACCAGAGGCCAACGGAGCCTGGGTGAAGATGAAGGAGCTGCTAAACGAGTTGACGAGGTATATCAAGATCTATTGTCTTTCTCTATACAGTACAGTTCATCTCAAATAAATAATTTATAGCCATAATAGTGTTGATCAACTTTGGTCATAAGTTATATGCTTCGAAACGGTCTAGCTTAACAAACACTTATTTAGCATCTTTAAAAACACGACGTCAGCATCGAGAACAAATCAATGTTGCGACGCTGACCCGACCATTGCTCTCCTTTGGAAGGAGACGTGCTAACGTGCTCAGCAGCATTACCAAATTAGTTTAAAATGCCAAACAATTCTAGGCCGTACATTTAAAGTACACTATGGAAATAACATCTTTATGACCTTTTTCCTAATTTCGGATTGTACTGTAGTACACAAGCATTGCACTCTTAATCAAAGTTTTCTATTTTTCCCTTGTGTGGTTCCTTCATAAAAATTCTAGGTTAACGGACAATTAAAAAGAAAAAAAAAAGAAAATAGAATTTAAAAGAACAAATAAACAAACTCTTTGATCATTATTTTGGGAAGGCTGTATGTTCCTCTACAAGGTCACCACAACTAAACATGATATGACTTATATATCGAGTGATATGAAGAGAAAGACAGGTGAGGATGCAGAGATCTCCATGCTCTTAGATGTCGGTTGTATAATTATGTCGGCATGGCTTTAAAGGGTTAAATGGTTTAGAGATGGCCAGATTGCTAGTGTTTATTTTGGATGCCACACTTCATCCGAGTGACCTTGTAGAACAATCGGCCTCTACATATCAAGCACTACCGGGAGATGGAGGAATCTAATTGCATATTAGGTTTGACTGCACCTCAAGAGAAGAACAAACACTCACACGCACGGACACACTCACACACATACACAGAACAGACATGTGGGTGGGTGCTCTCCTGGTCCTCTGGGCCATGTTAAAGGGAGCCCCCCCCCCCCGGTGGTGATGATGGTGATAGCAGCTGACTGAGGGGGGCCACGATGACCTCACTCAGACAGACACCCGTCCAGCCCAACCGGCGCGCCGTGCCGGTCTTTGACGTAGCCGTTGTGGAGGCCGTTGCTCGGCAAGGGGGCGCAGGCGGCGGTGATGCCGCAGTGCTTCAGCAAGTTGAGACCCGTGGAGGGGGAGACGGTGGGAGAAGGGCAGGAGCTGGAGGAAGGGTCCCGCTGGGGGAAAGGCTTCATGGTAGAGAGGATCAGAGCCAGGCAGTCAGCCACGTCCTTGTTGGGAGCGCAGGCCAGGGCCGGGGTATGGCCTGATGGACAGATGACACATTCACATCAGACCGGCGACAATTCCTCGACCAAATCGTTTTCTCAAAAAATTCCAGATGCAAGTGCTTTGCATGAAGGGTTTGTTGCACTTTTGGCAACACCAAGCGTTAAAAGTGTCAATGTGCTGTTTAGAGCCCGTTTACTGCCCCAAATTGGGCGATCTGAAACCATGCTGTGTTGTGGAAAATGATCACAAAACCCTCATGCTCAACGTACACAAAAATATCCAAACCGCAACTCCCTTTCAGGCAACACTTTATCTAATCGGCCTGGATGAGCTGTAATGGCTAACCAAGCGCCGACAGGCCTCACCTTCCTCATCCACAGCCAGCACAGTGGCTCCTCTGCTCAGCAGTGCCTGCACCACCGTAGCCAGGCCGTTACGTGCTGCAAGATGGAGGGGCCTGCAAGGGAATGTGGGAAAGAGTGTGAGGAACAGGTGGCAGCTTGACTACAATAAAAACAGGTTAAGAAGACAAAGTCTTTAAGGGGTGGATGTAGACAGATGACAAACATGGCCGACAGTTTTAAAATGCCCTTTTTCTTGTAGATAGCTTGAAAGTATTGCGAACTTTCTCACATTTGCAGAGCGCTGTTGGTGGCATTTATGAGTGTTGGACTGTGGATTTCCCCCAGAATCAGCAGGGCACACATCTCGTGGGCCTGATGGACAAAACGAAAATAAAAATGAAACGTGTACATACTACTTGTTGTATCTCATTACATTCAGGTGTTAATACTTATTGGACCTTGCTGCAGGCCAGGTGCAGGGCAGTATTGTTGTTCTCATCCAGCAGTGTCAGGTCGGCCTTGGCCCGGTGAAGGAGGATGGCTAAGGGGAAAGCAAGACCGTTATTTCAGACTAACCAGAGTGTGACGAGTAACAGTGCCACCTATCGGCACATAAGAAACCCACAAGAATAACGGGTCAAAGACTTACCCACGGTGCCACTGTGTCCCTTGTCGGCAGCTACCATTAGAGCGGAGCATCCACTGTTGTCCACTGCGTTGATCTCGGTACCGTGGCGGAGCACCAGCTGAAGTCCCGCCACGTCCTCCGCAAATGCAGCGGCGTGCAGTGGGGTCCTACGGGCGCAGACAGACAGTCCAAACAATTACTCCACGATCAGTGCTATGGCTCCAGGGGCTGCGGCAGTGCAACACGCGAGGCCTTCACGGCAAATTACTTGATTGTTTTTGAAGGGTTTTCCACTATAATCTTTTCTTTTATATTTAGTGTCTTTCTGATTAGACTTATATTAATATTCTGTCTGAAAAGCTTTGCAGAATGATATTCATTTGCGCTGATGTCACTCAAATACACAGCACGAGCAACAAAATGGGACCCATTCTGAATGTTTACAACTAAAACTGAAATATCTGACTTATGTTGTTTTTACATCACAACCGTATAGACATTTCTCCATCAATCGAGCGTTAATACCTTCACATTATATAGTGCTTAGACCTGCGTTATCATTAAAAAAAGATGACATTTCTGCATTCTCACCTTCCTTTGGCATCTCTGGTGTTAATCATGTGGACTCCGGCAGACTCCAGCAGCCTCTCTGCAGCACCGCTGTGTCCATTCATCCTAAAAGCAAGACCGGAGTTAAAACCAGACCTACTCGTTGTGTGGTTTCTTTAAAGACATTAGTTTTGACATGATGAGACATGTGGCGAAAGCCCAAGCTGGATACTCACAGAGCACAGTGCAGGGGCGTGAAAGGATTTCCCTCTTCATGGATAAATGTTTTAAATTCAAGTAAAACCTCCAAACAGTCTTCATGCCCTAAGAAGAAACACACCCAGCATTGTAAACAAAAGATGTGACAGTGACTCATTGCGACATTTAGGGATTAACCATTTGAAGTCGATCAAACCAAGCCAACCTTTGTAAGCAGCCCAGTGTAACGGGGTGTATTGTTTGTTGTCCAGCAGTTTGTCTTGGTGGTCTGTTGCCATGGCGGCCTGCACCATACTGGCCAGGATCTCCGTATGGCCTCTGGATGCGGCGTAGTGCAACGGTGTCCTACCCTGAACGTCCCGACACAGTGCGGACGCCTTGTGCTCCAGCAGGGCTGTCACACAGTCATCGTGGCCCAACACCGCCTGAACACAGACCAGCAAAAGGAGATGAGACCATCTCCATTGATACAAACAACTTGGACTGAGAAAAGTAACAATTACGTTAGACATTATAAATTGTGGACATCCTTTCCTCCTCTTACACCTTTTGATCACAGCAGCATGTATAAGATTTAAGCTACTTTCCTGGACAGAGATCTTGCCTTCCTAGATCGGTCTCAATGTTATTTAATAGATCACATTTGAAAAAAGTACCCCAAATAGCCACCCAATTGCCTGAGCACTGTTGCTTTCATCTTAATGACCGCTTGACAGATTGTGAGAGTAAGACTAAAAAAAAATGGGGATTAAAACATCAATCCACTGCTGGATGCCAGCTGAACTTTTTCAAATAGATTCACATTTAAAAGCCGGAATTAACTAATGACTTCACCATTGACACCTTAAAGCGCTTCCCTTAAATTCCTAAAAGTCACAACCGAAGTCTTGAATGAGTCAATGTGGTGCAGCATGTTTGTCGACCTACCCCTCTGTGCAAAGATGTGCTACCCCTCTTGTCCTTGGCATCTGGCAAGGCATCCTTCTCCAACAGGTAGTGGACACAGTCAGTGTGACCTCCCAGAACAGCCAGCATCAAAGGGGTCCTGAAGGGGACAGAAGGAACAATTTATGCGGATTGGTTCGATTTGCTCTAGAGATTAAACCGTTTAGAATAGCTGAATATACAAACTGGAGCAGTGCTTTTTAAAGAAAACAACTCACTGGCCAAATTTGTCTGCAACATTGGTGAGATCTCCTTCCTCCCCGTAATCAATCATCATGCGCAGGCAGTCTGAGTGACCGTTGGAGGCTGGTATGAAAGACACCACGGGAGATAATTAAAACACCCGTTCTCTGTAACTTACAAATGGTGACCATTAAGGCTGGTAACGGTGAGCTATATCGTTACATGGGAAATCTTCTGTATACCTGCAACATGAATCGGAGTCCACATGAGGCGGTTGTCATTGAGGAGACAGGAGGCTCCCTGAGCCAAGAGTACCTCCACGCAGCGGGCGTAGCCTTTCTGTGCAGCCAAGTAGAGCACAGAACGCCCCGCGGCGTCCTGCATGTCCACATAGGCTGCAGTCTCTGTCAGCACGCGCAGCGCCTGCCAGTGGCCCTTATCAGCCTGAGGGAGCAGAGGAGGCCGGTCACAACTTTGCATGTAGTCAGCATGAAGAGGTTGACAATAACCGGTTTAAACCAGAATTGATTAAGTGAGAAACACTCACAGCAAGATGCAGAGGACTGACTGGAATACTGCTCTCTATGTCTCCTAGTGCATTAAAGGACATCTCCAGGAGCTGAGAAATAGACCAATTGGATTTTTTATTTAATTAGATGAGGAGATAAATAAGCACCGTACACAAATATAAATCGAAAGCTGCACGTGAACATGTTTTCATCATGCACAGCCTACAAAAAGGATCCCATTCATTAATGGTATTTGGCGAAACAACACAACTGGAAAAACATTTCAATCTATGGAGAAAATAATTGTGTAAATTGTAAATCTATTACATCTGCTTCAGTGGAATACCAGCATGATCACATTTAACATGGGAAATTTGGGGTTGTTATTAATACATGTGCAAAGTAAACTTGTGAAATGATTTCAGATAAAAAAACAAAACATAAAAACTCACCAGCTCCAGGTTCTGTTTGTTGCCATGGTAAGCTGCATAGTGAACAGCACTGTAACCCTTCGAGTTGACCATTGATGGATCGGCACCGTTGTCCAAAAGATGCTCCAAGCAGCTGAAATGAGAGATGACCAAAATGTGTAGAGAGGGGATAAAGCATAGAGCGGGTCCCATCAGTAACTTTAAAAAGTTGTTGTCACGCAATTATATGGCAACTTACATAAATATAATATAGTGTAGCTGTCAAAATTAACGCGATAACCTATCAAATCATTATGGTTGGGATTAATGCTAAAAAATATACTACTTATAGTTACTATTACTGAAAGAGCGGTTTGGGAAACGTTCTGGCTAAATGCCGGGAGATTGTTGGCACTTTAAACACAGCCGTCAAATGATGGAGAGTTGAGCGCAAAATGCACGAGAACAGGAAGAGTTGCTTGTTCAAGATGTTCCACCCAGTGGAATTCTGCCTTGGAGATGATCAAATGTATTTAGTTGTTTGCTTAAAAAAAAATACAACTAAACAGTGTCTAAAATACACGTTTTCTAAAGTGGTTACTTGTTCATTTATAAGATTTAGTCCTTCGAAGAAATACAGGCTTTTTTAAAATAAGACATTAATTGTCGTTTTTTTTTAATCTTTTTAAATATTGACAGCCCTACAATTTATGAATGAAATTGTGACATGTATACTACTTATCATGTGTATGTTGGGTATGCTTTGCAGGATAAATATGTTTAAGTACCTTAAATAGATGCCTGTGAGCATGAATGTTAATGCAATAACGGTTGAAAAAGATACTGTGTTTCCATGGCAACCGATACTGAGACTTTTAGGAACAAATATTTTCTAATAACAAATTTGCTATGTTTATTCAATTTTAAGCCCTGATCACAATTTTCAGGTTTCAGTGAAGAAGGAAGGAAAACAAACTCACAAGTACGACTCCTTCGCCTCATCCTCGTCATTCTGATGGTTCCCAGAAAAATGACGATCAACTCTGAAAATCATAAGAAATGCTATGATCCAATAAACCTTCTTGTATTTCAGTATAACAAATCATTGCAAAACCATTTCTTAGCGTGTTGTGGAGATGGTTAGACTGCTATCTAACAGAAAATGTATGATACTCAAAAGTGAATGCAAATCAACTAGGAAATCAAACTTTCAGTAGACATATGAGCAAAAAAGCTGAGAAAGACGTGATCGTGGTTAAATTTCACGTGACCGGGCTGCAGCACGACAGTTTGACACAGAAGGAGAGAGAACCTGCTGAAGGCTTGGGAGGCGGCAGAGTAGTGCAGGGGAGTACAGCCAGTCTGGTCAGGTTCGTTGACCTCAGCGCCGGCGCTCACCAGGGTCACAGTGCACTGGTACCTCCCATTAGCAGCCGCATAGTGCAACGGGGTCCTAAAAAGGGAGAGAACAATCAGTCAGAATAGTTACTTTAATTACTGTCACAGCAGCACCAAGTTAACACATTAAACACAGAGGAGGAGAAACTCACCTTCCCATTATGTCCCTCTTATTCAAGTCGGTACCGCTACTCAAGAGCAAGTTCAGACATTCAACATTTCTGTAAAGGAAAAAAGGATCGTGGAAAAGGAAATCAAGTTAGGGATTAAATGAAACGTGCTACCACAACATTATGGGTCATTGTAACACGACAAAGCAGATACAGCATCTTACCCTCCGGAGGCAGCAGCGTGTAGACAGGTCCTTCCGAAGTTGTCAGGGGTGTTTATGTCAAACCCGGCGGAAAGTACATGCTCCTTACTCATGGATGAAACTATACTGTACAGCTGACCTGTGGGGTAATGAGGTGACACGATGTCGGTAACTACGGCGTCAAAGCGCGTTTCACGCAGGGAGATTTTGTTTGCAAATATGTGTGGAACGAAGACGAACCTGAGGAGAGTAACTTGCGACAACAGTCTGAAAACCCGTACAGCACCGCTAAGTGCAAGGGAAACATTCCACTGATTCCACGCCTGGGAATGACAAAACCACACGAACAGAATATTACACACCAGTCATTGTGGAAAATGGAAACGAAGGATGCAATTAAGTTACTAATTTGTTATTTAATCTAAATGCAGATCTAAAACATAAGAAAATCTATCGAATTAACAGGAATTATAATTTAAGTAAAACTTTTAATTAACGCAGCAATACATTTGTTAATTTGTGTAATATCGGATATATTGGTGCATTTCTACATGTAACCCTATTTATAACAAACTTCCTAATAGGTGCCAAACAATACTTAATGTGTAATAAAGGCTTTACTGTGCACAATTAAACCCATCTGGAACACAACTTGAGGCTTCTTCCTGTACCTGGCCGTGTCTGCTCCGTTGGTCATGAGAGTGCTGATCAGCAGTTCGTGGCCGTACTTAGCAGCAACGTGGAGAGGAGTATTGCCATACTTATCCACACAATCAATTTCCCCACCTGGTGTTAACAAGGGAAGAGGGTTTATGCTAAAGACTCTTCGGGATAAACATCTCAGAAATCAGTCAGGCGGCACAGTCATCTTTACCGTTTTGGATGAGGATCTGAGAGCGTGTGAAGCGTCCATGAATGGCTGCCATGTGCAGGGGGCTCTTCCCTTCTTTGCTCTAATAAAAAAAGAATGATTCATTATCTTGAGTTTAGTTCGTAGGAATTACAATTCACAGATTTTGGGAGCAAGCCTCAGACAGCCGCTACAATCAAGGATCGAGGCCAGGATCCCGAAGGAGCATCTCAAACTTACAACTTAGCATAAATGTTTTGACAAGTTCTATGCAAGTTCTGTGCTTCTGCACATTAAAGTAGCTTCCACTCTGTCGGCTATTCACACATAGTAATATGATACAGTTTAAATGAGACCAGCCTCACTTGAACACATGTTAAGGAAATGTTCTTATTTCCAGCAGCTTGATACGTGTGAGATACAATGTTCCAGCACAGCACTTTTTTTACATTTTTTTTTTAAATCTCCTATTTTGAAATAGACTTTAAAATCTAGGACGATGACCAATAACCATGACATGTGGTGCAGTACCACATCTTAACATTTCATTATCAACACGTCATGAACAGCAGGGAAAGTAAATGTAATTTCCATTTGAGACACATCTCATACCTGCTGGTTGACATCTGCCCCGTTGTTGACCAGCAACTCCAGACAAAGGGCACCGTTGGTGGAGACCGCAGCCAGGTGCAGAGGGGTGAAGCCGCACTTGTTTGGCTGATTAACATTAGCTCCATGGTTCACCAGCTCAGTAGCCACGGCCTCCTGTCCCGTGTAGCAAGCCACATGAAGCGCAGTGTTTCCGAAGCAATTGGGCTCATCAATCTGACGGCAAAACAAAAAACACCAGAAGTCAGTGTGCTTGAAAGGCAGGAGTCCTACTAATCATTAAATAGTGGGACATTTCAGCAGGTAATAAAAGACTATCAATTAAACTATGTGACAGTTAATGGGCAGACAGCAATGCAGCGTAATCTGGCTAAATATAAAAAGTGTTTTATGACAACTTTATCACTACATATAAACCAAATCGCTCACCTCTGTCCCCATCCTCAGTAGGTACTTTACAATTTCAAGGTGACCACTTGCAGCTGCAGCATGGAGAGGTGTGTATCCCTGCTTATCCTTGCAGCTCTTGTCGGCACTACGGGAAACCAGCAACTTCACAATCTCTGAATGCCCTACGAGAAACACAAAAAAGGGAGACAACAATGTAGCATTACCTTTAACACAAATCATACTCAAATTGGAGGATTCAGAGCAATCACGCCACTAACAGAGTGGTCAATCGCTGATTGTTGTGCGTCTTTTCCCCTCAGATAATGACGTAAGTACTTGGCGACATGATCAGACATTGTTTGAGTGAAACATGGCATGAACAATAGAAGCTTTTATTGCTATTCAACTATGAAAAAGTGCGCTGTGTGCAGAATTGGCAAGAGAGCGAAACTTGCTTACCCAAGTAAGCAGCACAGTGGATGGGCTGTCTTTCCTTCTTATCGATGGCACTCAGGTTGGCCCCTTTGTTCAGCAGCAGCTTCACCATCTGCAATAAATACAATTTTTAGGAAAACACAGGCTCTTGAGAAAAGAAATATCAAAATAGGGAGCCAATAACGCATGACTTGCCTCCTGGAACCCGCTCTGAGCTGCGTGGTGCAAGGCCGTTCTGCCAGTGCGATCTGCCATGTTCAGGTTGCTCAGCTGGGTCAGCAGGGCCTCTGCGCAGCGAGTGGCCCGGTTGGCAGTAGCCACATGCAGCGGTGTCTGCCAGAACTTGTCTCGCGCATTTGCCTCTGCTCCGCGCCTCAGCAGCAGACCCACTGCCCTCTGGGGGGGGGTGGTGGGGGGGGGTAGGAAACCATCACAAGAGCTCAGAGCATATATTTGGATCTGCGGTTTGCTAGATTTCCTCCAGTCAGCACAGTATTTTGGTGCATACATGTAAATGAGTTATACAGACATTGTGGGTTAATACATATTGGGATTAGAGGATTATGCCACCTGGCAGAAGATACAAGTTTATTGGTTACCTCATTCCTGGAAGCAGCTGCCCGGTGCAACGGTGTCAACCATACATGGTCTTTAGCATTTACAGTGGCACCTGGCAAACAAAAAAATAACACAATTTAGAGGGTGGAAAGAGCAACAACAAAACAAAAAAATGGCACGGTAAACTGGCAATGTTATGTTTGTTGGAGTGGTTGAGAAGAATTTGAGCATGCACCACACAGTATTTACGCAGAAGACTCAAAATGAACTCAAAGCCAAACATCAGCGATGCATTTAGCTGTTCACTCACCTGATTCAATGAGGAGGTCCAATATATGGACGTCACCCACACAGGCAGCAGCATGAAGTGGTGTGCGGCGCTCTTGGTCCTGTGGGGATTAAATCCATTAAAAAGGGAATATGAGATTCAATCTTCAAGGATATGGGCAGCATGGCCAAAGTCCTTCGTTATGATAACCCGTTTGCATTGCAACTGCGGACAGATTATACATACCAGTGCATTGACATCCTCCTGTTTGTGCAATAATAGTTGAACTTCTTCAGCATTACGATTGAAGATGGCCTGTACCAGAGGAGGCTGCAAAACAGAAATAGCTGCTCAGTTACGTAGGATAGCATAACCATAACGTTGACTCGGAGCGACGATTCGTTACATTTTCTCTGCGCCATATTGAGTGTAATGGCTTAATGGCATATCGTGATGTTACATGTTGTATTCGCAGTAGTGTTGGGTACCGAATGCGATTCTTGTTTCTTTCCAAGAAATACACTGAGCCCTGGCTGAGGCCTGCAGGCCCTTGTCTATCGACTTACGTCAGCTAGCTATAGCTGCTATGTAGCGAATTCTGCTACTCGGCCCAGAGAAGGGCCGAGACATGAGCAGCAACAGCCTTCGTGTTGACGTATGTATGCCGAACAGAATAGCAAATCAGCGGTGATTGTTGCGATATGCACCTAAATAAGCACGCACGGCCAAGAAGCCATAAATGAAACGACCTGCTCCGCGGATAAGACGTAGCAAGCTGCGCACATGAACTGGGCTCCTCCAGCAAATAGACTGCGCCACAGCATAAACACGGGAGCGCTTTCTTTCGTCGTTACCTGGTCTGCAATGTTATGTACTCCCATCTCCCAAACTCAGCCAGGACGGAGCTCCTTCATGAGGATAAAACTTGGAGGTATATTGCGGTGCGCTACTGTATCCACTTTTCAGACTACACCCATAGTTAGTTACAAACAGAAATGCGGTCTTGATCTGTCACTGTTGTTGTCTGCATCCGATGTCTGCTTTGCGATACAAGCTACGACTGTGCTGGTCCGCCTACAGGCGTGGCGGTCTGTCTCCTCCCGCTTGAGAGCAATGGCGCCATCGTGCGAAAGGCAGCAGCGGTCCTTTTTAACACAGAACGGAGGTTACAACATGGAGGGCACTGACGTCTGGTCCGTCTGCGAGGTCAAGCGAAACGTTTAGGGTCGGCTGGTTCGGCACAGCAAAGACTGTAGTCGAAGCTCTGAAACCCGGTTGCTACGGGGCATATTTTGTTGGTGATTTTTGAGAAAATAATTTGGACGCGTTTTATCTATCTGTTTTGTAGATGCCCTTCGCCTCTGTTGTCATGGAGATCTACCACCACGATAGTCGTCAATATAGTCGTCTAATAATAATAATTGATGATATTATTCATTATGGTAATACTTCGCATTACGTTTCTGAATAGAACACTTTTTTAACGTTTGAAAAATGAAAAAAAAAAGTACATATATTGGATATTGCTAGAAATTCGATTTATAAATTCATTAATGAAATTATGGTTTGGAGTGTATATGTTTAACATGATTTGACGTTAAATACACACGTTAAATCCCATTAAACATGACCCTCCAAAACAGTGGGAGGCAGCATTTCGAGCTAGGCTCGTTTGGCTCAACAGGAGATCAGCAGACCAGACCGGCGTTTCATTTCGCCGCAGAAGGTCGTTCACAGCTGGGAGTTATTTAGCACTATTTAAAACCGAAACCAGACCCACGGATTATATTATATTGTCTTGTCTGTGACTATTTCTGGGGAAAAAAACCCAGAGGGACGCGGGTGTCGGCCAGCCGCCACTCGGGCTCGTTATGAAACATTGCTAGCGAACGTTGGCTAACGTTAGCAGCTAACGGACGTTAAGGAAGCTGCCGTTGGTTACGCTGACCGCTCTAAAAGCGGCTGGAGTCGCTGAGGTGACCTCACACAACCAGCCGGTAAACGCCAACCAGTTAATTCGGGGCATTAGTAATAGTAACTTACTATAGCTACGTTGGCGCTAATACACCCGTACTACGCCGGGTGTTTGGAGCGGACATTTGAAGCCTTCTGCCTGGGTCTTTTTCGACCAGACCCATTGCTCAGCTTCTCGGACCCAGGATCTGTGCTCGTTAAACTGAGTGGCTGACTTGATGGCAGCCACGGCCGGTGCCCGGCGGTTACCCATGGGCGTACGGACATTCAGTGACCTCCTCCACATCGCCTGCGTGGGCACACCTCGCCCGTGTCGCCCAGGGGTGCTTAGAGGATGCCTGCGACAGAACATTAGGTAAGCTTGCCGCGGAAACTCAGCGGGTCGTACCAAACTCAGTCAGTCAGTCAGTCAGTTAGCTAGCTAGCACTCTTTAGCATCGAAGAGTGGAAAGATTACACGCTAAATTAACGTTAAGTTAACTTTGTCGGGGTTGTATGTATGTTTTCTTTAAAGTTAGGCCATTCTTAATTATGGCAAGCACTGGGATATCCTAGAAGGTCTCCCAGTTCATGCTTGATAATTCCTATTACATAACATTACGTATTCTATTACGTAACACCTAAACCTAGTTAACGTTCGCTAGCTATATGTTGTGTGGTTGTCGAGTTGGACAGTTGTAAACTTGTATGTTACAAGATTTGAGTAATGTATGATTTATTTAATTTTCAGTACAAACAACCAAAGAAGTCTTTATCTATGGCAGCAGTATTAATGCAAAAGCAACTAATGATAATTTCGGGATATTCAGAAGGCAGTATCGCTATTCTCAGTAAGTAGTGATGCAATAGTCATGACACATTTTCTTAGAATGTACAGATTACCTACTGGAACATCTAGTAGGTGGTGGTTGTCAAATTACATTGCGTTTTACTATCCACACAAGAGGCCCAACTCAGAAAATACCAGCACACCGAAAGCTTCCACCACCTCCTGGTTGACCCTATTGTGTGTTGTCATTGCCCTTAGCATCTGGTAAAGGGACCATACTGTCATGTTGTGGACTGTGCCTGTAGCAGGTGGCACTCTTTTCCAGAATGTGGCTCACAGAAAAATCTTTCGCTTACCTTTTTTAGACACTTGTCGTCATGCGGCATTTTGATGACAAGAACTCCCAAAGTGCTTTGCCTTCAAGACTGGGCCACAATGACAGCTGCTCCTCCTCACAGCCGAAACTTCATCAGTTTTACCAACAAAAGGAAGGAGTACTCCGAGCGTAGGATACTTGGGTAATTTTCCAATATGTGCGACAAATAACTCACTTTTGTGTTGTTTTTTTCTTCCTTTTTTTTAAAACCTCAACCGTCCAATGTGTTTTTTCTCAGATTTTCTATGCAGGAAATGCATGATGTGGTGGCCAATGTTGACGAATACAAGCACTTTGTGCCCTGGTGTAAGAAGTCCCAGACCATCATGAAAAGAGCAGGCCACTCCAAAGCCCAAATTGAGGTCGGATTTCCTCCAGTGGTGGAAAGATACACGTCTATGATCACCTGTGTCCGGCCCCATCTAGTCAAAGTAAGTGTCAGTTCTGTGAATCATTATATACTCGGCATGTCTATGGAATTATGTATATTCTATAGGTCTACTATGTGAATGCAACTATGTTAAAATATTAGCACTTGACGAAAAGCAAAGCTGTCTTAGACACACAATAGTTATTAGTTTAAGCGGGTCATTTTTGTGATGCCAACAGCTGCTTAATATCTATGTCTAATCAGAGATTTTTTTTTTCTGGGGGATTTTAGGCGGTGTGTACGGATGGAAAGCTATTCAATCACTTGGAGACCATATGGCGCTTTAGTCCTGGTATTCCTGGTTACCCTCGCACCTGCACGGTAGACTTTTCTGTAAGTAGCCCGCAGCTGGCTTCCTTTGATGCTCAATACCATTCTCAAGTCTGTACGGTACATCAGCAGGTAATTACTTAGCTGAGGGAACCAGCTAGCCGGCCGGAGATGTCCAAACAACTCGTTAGGGTTTTTCGGCTGGATGTGCTGTTTCCGGGGTCTCTTCTCCGTGGCGAGACACCAGGAATTCACTGTTTTTGTGGAAGCTTCACATCAGTGAAGTGTACGAGAAAGCAAATACATATTTCCCAAAGGGTTTGAGCTATAGCCATTCAAACTATTGTATATTCGCCACATTTTACAGCATGCCTACTCCGTGTCCTATACTAAAGAGATCATTTTTTTTCTGTTTAACAGATATCCTTTGAGTTCCGCTCTTTGCTGCACTCCCAGTTAGCCACCATGTTCTTCGACGAGGTCGTAAAGCAGAATGTCGCGGCGTTCGAGCGGCGGGCCGGTAAGCTCTACGGCCCAGAGACTCGTATCCCGCGAGAGCTGATGTTTCACGAGGTGCATCAGACGTAATCTCAGGAGCTCTATGTTCTCATCTGACCTTAAACCATACCAACTGTTTATTCCCTTTATCAACACAAACCTGCATGATGCTTCTTATTCTGCCGCCGCCTCAGGTCTGCAGCGCCACATAGACATTCAACTGTAGTAAGCTCTATATTGGAATTCCCGCATCAACACATTCTTGTTTATCTCCTCTGTGTGTTAAGTCTGTCAAATTTCTTCCACTTCCACTTAAAGGATGCTTGTTTATCAGAAGGAACCCCCCTTTCACCTCACTTCCATGAGAGTTAAAAGCTTTCTTTGTGTGAACGCAACAGTAAATCATTGCATTATCATGTTACCAACTATCATTATTATTATTATTATTATAGGGCTTTTATTTTTAAACGGAAAGCACAGTGACACTGAACAAAACATGCTTTTTGTTACTTAGAAACGGGCAAAGACTTTTACTCTCACCAGGGATCAAGGCTCGTTCATTGTGATCTCAGATATATGCTACAATGACGCAAAATACACTGTTCTCTTTTCAGTTGTCTTTTGCTCCTTATACTGTAATCTTTGCTTCCAAAGTGAAGTTTTTATCTATTATTTGACATATAATGCGTAGCAAGACAATTATGCATTTAATGCTTTTTAATTTATTCTTCAGAGTTCATTTGCATATTCTTGCTGTTTTCTTGGGGTTCAAAGAAATGTTGTGACGTTATTGAAGGGCAACATTTTTCATGGGGAAAAGTAACTTCTTCATTAGACTGCTTTTGGCCTCTATTTACTTTTTGGTTTGGGACATTTTGCGTTAATTTGGATGTTGATGTGCTGTGAAAATGGTGTTTTTGAACATTTAAACTTCCGCGGTCAACTGCCTTATTTTACAGCCCATAACAAGTAACTATTTGTTGACTAACAGAGGGAGGGAAATCTTAACTTTGTACCAACAAGAATATGTGATAAACTGAAGACGACTGAAATACTCCATATGGGATTACAAATCTTCCAGGTTCTCTAAATGATCTGCTTCAAAACTTGGACATGCTTCAATTAAAACCTGCTGTGTTAATATATAACTCCTGCTGTTAAAGTCTCTTTGTACTTCACAGTTCACTAAAGGTCATCAGCATGATGTTCCATTTCCATCATGTATATTAAATCTGTGTGGGCTGCAGAATAAAACATTCTAGATCATTTCACTGTCTATTGCTTTCATGGTTATTTTGCGGGGAAGTTGAGTTCCACGTGCAAATATTATGCATGGAGCTAAAAACAGCATCTACATGTTGCATTTGTGCTTGACTTTTTAGTATTTCTATTTCATATGTAAGGCTTTATTCCATGTTCCCCTAAAGTACCTCGACTGCATCTGCCGTTTTAAGAATTGACCGTGTTCAAGTTGCAAAATGTCAACGTGTGTGTGTGTGTGTGTGTGTGGGCGTGTGTGTCCTTCCTCGTAATAGGCAGTGCGTTATGTCCACATCTCATACCTCAATAGGGATATTTTCAAAGCTGTATTTGTTCGAAGGCTAACGTGCTTTGTCACGGTGATATTGTAAATGAAGGATAATTAATCAATGCACAAATAATGTTAAATCAGTCCAACTTTTCAAAAGATATTGTTGCTTATGTCTTCATAGATCAATTATTTTGGACTGTATTAGAATTGTATTAGGTATATTAGGTGTGGTTCTCATTGTCCAATGTGGCATAATGTAAAAATTGCACTTCTTTTTGCTGGACATATTCTATATTACTGTATTGTAGTTGGCAATACTGTGTAAATTAAATAATCATAAATCACATTTACATAATATGTAATCCCCTCAGTTCTCCAGCCCCAGAGTAAAAGCAGTTGTGTGAATGAGCATCACCACAGCAGCAGTCCGCTATGTACACAATGATGGACACACATCACCACTGGCTGGAGAGTTGCTCCCAACAGAATATATTTTGCGTTCATTAACCTTGCACCTTTTCATCGACAAGCTTAAGTCTTTACTTGTAAATACTGTATTTCAGAGCTTTATTTCAATAAAAAAAGTGGAATGTTTGCAGTGTTGTAATTTGCAGAGTAAAAGACATTTAAATGTAGCGCCGCTGAACTTTAACCGAATGGTGTGATGTCAGAGGGCAACGTGGCGCTCCAAAAAGGCAGCTGACCAGCACAAGAAACCAGAGCGGGAGGGCGGTGGTGGTATTTGGGGCAGTTATTAATAAGTGCATAGGAGCTGGGAATTTGTAACCTCGATCTTCTTTCTTAATGTCAATTGTATTTATTTAAACTCGGGCATAGTCAATCATCTTGACACAGAGGAAGAAAAAATAGGGCTAAGGGCATTACAGGAACATTGATGTCGCTGGGCATTCAAAGGATTGTTTAAAAAATGCAACCGTCTAACCTTTGAGCGCTTCTGTTGCGACACACAGTAGAAAAGTGTCTATGTTTAGACACGAAGGGCAAAACACTGACCCCCAAACCAGATAAATGAGTATTGCAATTACTCTAGTCCTTTTTTTTTTTAAACTAAGAAAATGAGATGCAAGAAATGTTAATAAAAACGTTTTTTATTGAGTTTTCCTCATGTTTATCTTGCCCTTATGACACATCCAACCCCAAAGTGTTTCTCTGATCCACCTGCGACAAATAACCCCAGTTATCATACAACCAGTTCTCTATGATCAAAATAACCTTGTCTGCTGAACAACACAACAAAAACAAACATGCCTGAAATAAGATGGAAGCAGAGATTCCTACGTGTGAAGTACTGTGTGTGTGGAGGGGGGGCGGGGGCGGAAGTGGGCTGGAATAACTTAAACTACACAGAAATGGAGTGTTGGCAAACCCAGAACCTGAGAGCAAGCTTGAACTATGCAAGTGAGACGCCTGGAGAAACAGCACCAACTAAGCCCACAGAGCAAAGCAAGAGATCATGTATGTACAAGATAGCTGCAGTTTTCCTTTGTTCATGATCACAATGTGAGACCGGATACTACATTGTTGGTAATCATTGTGGTAATAACAAGCAAGTGGTCACACAGAGCTCATACATTCAAGCTATTTATATATATACCTATGTACACAACGTATAAATAAAACCACAAGATCAGATCCAAAGATTATCGCTTTATACATTTTCAACACCAAAGAAACTCTGTAAAAAGGGACACAATCAACCTGTGGGGCGGGTCTCTACAACTAAAAATTAGGAAATCTAATCAAGAAAGTGCTCATTTTGGAGTAGTTGATGTTTAAAGCGCTCTCCTGTGGGGATAAAGTCAAACATACACTCAAATAAGACAGGATCTTTACAAATGTAAAGCCCCCTCCCACTTACATATTCAAGCTTGCTCTTAAGGATTTATCACAGGCTGCCAAATAGAACACCCTTTGCACAAATCTTTACTGTACATTCTTTATTCTCTACCATTCAGAAGACCTTTTGAGTAGAGAAACATTAAAAACAGGAAAGCATATTAACAAAGAATAATCATTTATATATAGACGACAGTTATTTTGATCATAGAGCCAATACAGGTCGCTAGTAAAAGAAACATAACTACAAGTTGGAGAAAAAGGAGGGATCAACGATTTAAAGGGGCAGTATCTTTTAACAGATTTTCACAATCTTATATCTCTCTTTAACAGCGTGGTCATTTTATTGCTGGGGACCTTAATTTGTCAACTGGAGTGTTCATAAATGGGAGTGAAACACATGGATGACATCTGGGAACATTGCATAGAGGAAACTAGGTGGGGCGCCTGTATTGCAGGAAGAGGGTCTTTAGCTTTAGGATATCTTCTAAAAAAAAGTCACTGCATTTGCCAAAAGCGGCAAAAGGTCGAGTTAGGTACTTAACTTTAGATCTTTAAACAAACGCAAAAGGAAGTGTTGATGACCTCCACAATTCCCTTTGAATGCCACTGCCTAGTCATAGTTCAGACCCAGCGCCCAGTGACACACACAGGCAGTTCACAGGGGAATGCTAGCAGACGTATAATGGGACATAGTTTCGAGCCTAGCATTGGGTTACACTCGCGAGTTTTGGAGACCTTAAAAGGGACAAACCGTCTTTTTAACTAAACACATTTAAACACTAAATGGTGAGACGGTTAAAAAAAACAAGGCCCTTCTTGTGTGAAATTACATTAAAAGCGTACTGTCTCTTTGAAACCCATTGAATCCCTGGGGTTGGAAATGACAGGGGGGGTAGTGGTGTGTGTGAGGGGGTGGGGGTGGGGGGTGAACCACTTATGTCTGCCTTTTGATGTTGCCCCCTTCCTCCCACACTGACCCCCGGCTCTTTTCAGGTGCTCCTTCAGCCTGACTTGGCTCCCACCAGTGTCATCAGTCCATCTGTGCTCATGGACTTGGGGCGCTCCAAGGGGAAGCCCAGGGCTCTACTCCACACCAGCTGGGCCAGCACGCCGAGGGCCCGGGACACGCCGAACAGCACAGTGTAGTAATTCATCTCGCTCATCCCGTAGTACTGCAGACAGATGAAAGAGGGAAGGAGTCAGGGCCGTCGGTGGCCACCGTAGGCAGACTGATGCGTGATCAGCACACGCCGCTCACCTGCAGCAGCACTCCGCTGTGGGCGTCTACATTGGGCCAGGGGTTCTTGGCCTTGCCCTGCTCCAGCAGCACGTTGGGCACGATCTTATAGAGCTGGGCAACCATCTTGAACATGGGGTCGCTGGGCAAGTGCTTCAGGGCAAACTCGCGCTGACAGGTGTAACGGGGGTCGGTCTTCCTCAGGACGGCATGGCCGTAACCCGGCACAACCTGCAGGGGAAAAACACAGGCCCTCATCTTCTGAACTGTGCGGCGACGACTCTGCATCGTAACATTTTAGAAGAATCTTTCGGGTGGCAAAGGAAGGGTTGGTAATCTTTAAAAACAAATTCGTCATAACTCTGTAAAAATCTGGTACAAGTCGCTGTTTCAGGATTTAATCTTGGCCAAAATGCAACAAGAGATGTCTATAATCTTTGGGTATTAAAAGGTGCATCTCAGGCTGCGAAACCCTATTGCCGTCGGTGTGGACCAATAACACTTTTTTTAAATGATTGGCAGTGTGGCAGATAAGACCATATCAATCCTAAAATCCACTTAATATTAAACGCAAAAATGTGTTCATAATGATGTGGTACATATCACAAATTGATAGCAGCCTGTTACAACACTTGGAGAATTGGTAGAGGAGGTGGCGTCTTTACCCTTCCAGACTTCAGGGTGTTCCAGATGTAATCCCTCATCTTCTCATCGGACACCTCTCCACCCAACTCTTTCTGCAGGGCTGTCAGCCACACCAGCACCTCCTGTGAGATGCAGAATATTAAACAATTACACTCAATTAACAGTACACTGTTGTACGTTAAGACTTTTTGATATTACGTCAGCTTGTAATTTATTCCATACAAGGGAAATGTTCAGATCAGTGTTATCAGTAATCATTTGCGTGGTACAAACCTGATTAGCGAGGCCGTGCAGAGGACCAGCCAGACCGTTCATGGCGGCGCTGAAGGACAGATAGGGGTCGGACAGAGCGCTGCCCACCAGGTGGCTGGTGTGTGCGCTGACGTTGCCTCCTTCGTGGTCACTGCAACATCACAAAATAAAAGGAAAGCATTCAAATAAAGATGCAAAAACACATGTTCGCTCAATGATTCTCATGAGTGACATTTTGTCTGAGATTAAACAGACAGTGAACAGAAAGGGACAAACTATTTGTCAGATGAAATGGAAACCCCAGCGTCTTAATGAAACTCGTTCATGTGCAGTTTAAATGTTAAATGCATTCACCTTAGATGGCACGTTGTGTTTGGTACATAGGTGTGATGCCATAACAAAGTACAGATTGTGCAACATCCAATGACGCCAGTATTTATGGCTCTACATCCTTGAACTCGACCGAAGCAGGAAAGCAGTAAAGGCAGCTCCACACAAACGTCAGCGTAAATGGCCAAACGAGACCAGTCTTACTTTGGTGTGAGGTGCCTTGAGTTATTGAGGTTATCTGAACAGTGTTTAATGGTCCAAATTGAGATGTTTTTAGAGCCTAGTTCTCTTGGCTTTATCAAATGTCATTCAAGTACATCCAGAGTCCTCCATCACTCCCTACTCCTTCAAGTACCAAAGCTGCATTATACTTTGAAAGGATTGCTGGAAGGTGCACCTGTGGATGGTGAGGTAGAGCCGCATTAGCTCAGTGAACTGGGCATCGCTGTAGCCCAGCATGTTGCTAAAGTTGTGGGACCAGTCCAGGTTTGAGTCGATGGCTCCGATGCTGCTGCCTTCGCGGTACAGGTTGCGGTAGATCTTGGCAGCAATGCAGGGCAGCTTGGCAATCAAGTCCATGGAATCTTCATAAGCAAACTATGGGAACCAACACAAAACGGGACGTAGGTCAAATAATTCACGAGTCAATATTATCTCACGTCGACATTTCCACGTGCATGTCGTGCAGCCGCTCAAAGAGGAGATTTCCTGTACGAGTGTAGAAAAGAACTCACCTCCCAGTACTTGGACTTGTGGACTCCCTCAGAGTAGGCCCGCGCAAAGCTGCTCTCGCTGTTCAGAGCTGTGATTGCGGCACTGAACTGCGACATGGGGTGCAGGTTGGTGGGGAAGTTATCCAGCATGGTGACGACGTGAGAGGGAAGTGCTGCTCTCTTCGCCCACTCTTTGGACACCCAGGTCACCTGGAAGGAACAGGATCACATAATACGAGAGGGACCCAAAACACGCTGCTCTATGAACCTCATGTTAAGAATACAATTTGAGCTGAACAGGTGCAGCTAAAACGGCTGAGAGTAGAATAGTGAAAGGTTGGGGCCGGCTAAACGGTGAAGGCGTGTTACCCAGTTTTACACACACACACACAATCCAGGGCAACAATAATCATGTTGGCACTAGTATCAAGTTCTTGATGTTCTGTGAACTGATCTAATATTCATGACTCTGCAGGAAAACTGTGTGTGTGTCCATGTATACCGGCACTGACAGATGGAGAAAATTAACAGCTGCACTGCCCGCCCTCATTAACAATCTGGCACAATCATCTGAATCATCTTTGAAGCTCTGCTCACCTGCTCCTCGGTGGGCACCTGTCCTGTGACCAGCAGCCAGAAGAGGCCTTCGGGCAGCGGCTCCTCGCCTCCTGGAGCTTTAGGCAGCAGCCCCTGGCACTCTGGAATGCTGTAGCCCCGGAAACGGATGCCCTTTGTGTCGATGGAGCGAAGACAAAATGGGTAAATTATCCGGAAGCGAGTGAGCCACCAATGAAGGTGTAATTTTATGTGGTGGCCTGTTAAAGTCGGTAATCGTTCTCAAATATTTTGGGGGGAATGGCTTGGAGGCAGGCCTTAAAAGACGAGCTCTCAATCTTGTTTAGTTTCGCGACTGGAGCTATGGCTTAGGTACTGCAGTCACGGAATGAAATGGTTTGACATGAATGCACATCATTACTAGTGTAGTATGCAGCTACAATAATCAACATCTAATGTATTTTAAAGATTACAACACAACACGCAAGTTTGAGTCATCTTCTTACTCTGACACATCATCTACTCAATGACACGGACGTTTAAGTAAACCAAAAATATAAAAACGGGTGACTCAGTGGGAGAACTCGTAGTGTTAACCCCTACACCCCTCCCTCCACTACGTGACTCATTTCACTGTTTATCCAGTTTTTTCTTTATCTTTGTTCGGTAGGGGTGGGAATCTCTTGGCACCTCACGATTCGATTCCGATTCAGAGGTCAACGATTCGATTCTAAACCGATTATCGATTCTAAACTGATAAAACAATCGTCGATGCATCTCGATTTTCTAAAGTTTGCTACTCAGAGGTTGCTAATCACGTCCTACTTTATTTGATATTTAAAGAAAATCAACAGATGAATTACCATCTCTATTTTTTTATAAGAGAAAAAAAAATGTCTTTGTCACAAATATGATTTTCTATCAACAATGAACCAATGCAGCTTACATTTCAACACAATATGGAAGTAGCCTATGTAAAAAAAATAAACATTCATTTTTTGAGCAAATATCTCGTGCGAGACGGGTTTTTTTTTTTTTTAAATTCTGATTATTAACTTTTCTGAATCGAGACCGAATCGTTCTAGAGAAAATCGAGAGAAATCGAAAAAGTCTTTGGGTCTAGAAAAGCAGTATCAAAAATGCAAGTATTATTATAGATTATTGGAATTTCCCCAGTTGGATCATTTCTGAAAATCCAGGGTGGAAAAGTTTTTCTCAGTTGACCAAACGTGCCCGTAACCCGATGCACAAGAACCATTCTGCTACCACTGACAGCCACAAATGAAAGCTCTCAGCTTAATTGAGAAAACTTATCAAGAGAAGTGCCTTCAGAGGAGGCACTTATCCTCAACACAGAATGGTCTTGGCCCGAAAAAGCCAAGGGCATCCAAACTATACAACCACCTGAATGCTTTGTGCCACTTGAGGAAAACTGACCTCATCAGGATCCAACACAGAGGTCTCGTACACCAGACCCTTCATCCCCCTCATACCTCCATAGATCTGTGGATGGAAACAGAAGCATATAGTTAATATATCTATTAATTAAATAAAATTTGTTTCAACAAAGGCAAGTGTAAGAATACTATACTAAGAGTACTATACACTGTACTGTGTTGGGCCAACGGAGTAGCGGGTGCAAGCCTGATCAGTAAGATCTGTGTGTTTACTTAGTTACTTCAGTTACAGAATTAAATGGTTTGAACATCAATGTACTTCCTTACTAGTGTCATACGCAGCTACAATAATCCCAATTAAAGCATTTAAAAAGACTACGACACAAAATGTTACGTACATTTGAGTCATCTTCCACTGACAAAAATGTAAAAACAGGTCACACCCAGGTCTTCAGTCAAATTATTCTAAAATCACTATGGCAACGAGCCAGAGGTAACGGGTGTAGTGAGTGAGGGCTATTGTACCCCAATGTGCATGTATTTGCACACATAATGGGAGCAATGTGCAGTAGGGGTCTGAGTGACGCAGGAAAGCTTCCCATTGTGGACCGAGGAAGACGATCCAACAGTGATACCTGACAGTTAATAAGGCCATGAAGGCCAGGACGGATTAAGTGACGGCAACATGCCCTTGACTAATCCACATCAATGTAGACGGCCTAGATGCGCATTCCTTCATTGCCACGTTTAAACAGCAAACTCCTCGGGAGTCACTCACCATGTCAACTGAAATCTGTCCTATGTTGGTTTTGCCATATTGTTGTTTAAAGTTTTTGATCCTTGTCTGTTCCTTAGGGATGAGGTCTGCTAGAACATCCTTCAGATTCTGTAAGGAAAAAAGACACCAACCACTGAGAATAAAATAATTTCCTTCAATGTAAACTGGGTTAAGACTTTGTGCAAACATTTTAGTTATAGGTTTGGGTTACAAACATTTTAGTTAAATAAAATCTTGTTGGCTTAACAAAGGTTACTGTGTTTCAGAATTATTCAAGTGTCTTTTCCAAATGCCCCTTACATTACAGAATAAAAACCAGGTTATAATCTGAAGCCTCAGACCCCCCTGCAGTGGACGTAGTCTACTTACAGTTGTTGATGCGCTGGCATTTCTGGCAGCCACAAGGAAGTTGGTGGCATTCTGCGAATCAGACCACCAAATAAAAGGATTGAGTATTAATAGCACAACCATACAATCTAATAAAAACACAAAGGCTAGAGCAGCGGTTTTCTCTAAATCCACTTGTGTCCAAAAAAAATGTACAAAATCAGTTTCTGTATTGTGATTGGAAGGCATTTAAATGGAATGTACTTACAACCTGAATTGTGACTTAGAAAAAGGGAGAACAAGAAACAATTTCCATACGCCTTTTGTTAATAAAATAATTACTTAGATCACACATTTTTCTAAGTTATATACAAGCTTGTGACTGTTGCTCGAACTGGGAAAAGACTATGGGGAGACGTACAAGCTTAAAAACAAGAACTACAGGCCCCATTTATGGAAGTGTTTGGAGACTAGTAATGTCATTGAAAGCGCAGTAGTAACAAGTTGAGCTTGCTTCTGCTCACCACCGGGAGAAGAAAAAAAAAAAAAAAAGACACCTGTCAGCTTTGGAAAATGATCAATGGGAAAAGGGGAAGAGTTTCACAATAGAGATCTCCTAGTCACAAATAATAGAAGGTAGGATCACACATCAGCACTCACACATACTACCTAGCTGAGAGAGAATGTGATTACAGCAACAGCTCAGGGCCTTAAATATACAGCAGCAGTTTTACTCTGTCGCTCCCACGTCCTGTCTGGGAGGAAGGTTACAGCAGCTCAGAAGGGTGAAGGAGTCAACCCATTTAATATGGGCCATTTAAAAGCCCTGCAACTCATATGTAAACTAAACGAACCACACTAAGCAAAAACAAATTACTTTCAACAAAAAATAGCAATCAACTGAGGCAAGAAACCATGTCGACACCACCACACTGAAACACTACTGTCCTTCCTCTCAGGGCATGAATCATGTGATCTGCCTCATAAATTCAAAAGATACAAAACATTCATGTGCGACTACAAAGCAGCGCACTTCTGTGCAAAGATTACAGCTGATAAAAGTGTGACACAGTTATATCTGCATATCGCTAATTACAAGAGTGATAGTAGGACTAGGACACCTCCACCTATGTCAAGAGAGGACACCTGAATCATCCTACAGCAAGTATTCCGTGTCAGAGGTCAGCAGAGTTGGACACTAGGCTTCTGTCGGCGGAAGGTTACAGTCAGCACGGGAGGCCACTGCCTTTATCGGTGATTGGGTGGGTGACCTGAGCACACGAGTCCTCGTAACATCGTGACATACCAGGTTAATTATTAAATCAGTTAATCACACGCTTAAAAAAAGAAAACGTGCCAACTGAGATTAAGCATTTAAAATGCTGCAGTGGGACGTCTGGATCCACACCAGACGGGGACCCCCGACACGGTGTTTTGATACTTTAACGTTGTGGAGATAAAGATAATTGTCTGTTATCTTAAGCTGAAGGTCGACCGGGGTTGCGTTAGACGAAACAAGAGCTTAAGTGGAGTACAATCAGAGTGTCTGAAACCAATACTTATTAACAGCAGATACGCGTTCGCATCGACGTAAAGGGGGTCTAACGTTGGTCGCTGACGTTTGGTTTTAAAAAAACTATTCAGACAGGCGGTGACTAACGTTATATCAGGCCAGCACGAGTAGCACGTTGGCTAACCAGAGGCACGTTGACACACGCTAGCAACTCAAAAAGGTTATTGCTATAAAAATCTCTATACAAGACACATCTAGAGATCGAGAAAACTCGTAAAGGCCTTTAATCCGTTTTAGGAAACTATTAGCCACAGCATTTCACAATGTGGTTGGTACGGCTAAGCTAGCTAGCTAGCTTGCGATTACCTCACTGGCCGGCTAAACCTTTGCCATTAGCTTTCGCAGATAGCATCGACAACTTTGACTTCTAATGTGGCATCCACGCCGTTCAAAGTCCACTCACCTTTGCATTGAGGAGTTTAGGGCCTAACCTGCTGACAGTGAGAAAAGACATTGTGTCTGTGTCAATTAGTTATTTCCAATCGTTCTTTAAAACTAAGGAAGCCGCTGCCAGTGCACCACGGAGCTGGTTGAAGGTGCCCCTCCAGAAAGCAGAAGGTTGAAGAGGGATTCGGGCCCGCACGTAGCAGGGACGTTGATTGGACGACGGGCTGAATCAGGCACCACAGCGTATTGCTATTGGATTGGCTGGGCGGCTTTTAGGTATAAGCTGATTGGATAACGCCCCTTTCTCTTTCTATGACGATGTGTGCGCACTCGGGGTCTGTTCAAGAACGACGTTTTATGAAGTCTCTCCACTTTCCTATCCAGTTGAAAAAAAGTAAAGCGATACTTATTGAAGCTACCCATGCAACGACCTTTAACCTAGATAATGTGACGATGATCTTCCACGACACCAAAACTAGTGCTGCCTATGTGTAGGTACGGTTCAAGGGCGTCCTGTATGTGGCTCCATGTGTTATTTATGCTTTTTTTATTACCCCTTTCCAGTTTTCGTAGATTGCATGTATGTATGAATTATACTAAATTGTATTATTTTTGGCATTCTTATATCAGTGTTCATGATCTTTGTAGGCGTATAAAGGCTTAATAGCTGATATTTGTTCTGAATGCCACAACTTTACTTTCGCAGAGTTCAAAGTCAGTAGTTACCAAGTGTGAGCAAATGGAAGGATTTTTAAATGGCTATGTTTCACAATCATGAAGTGTAAAAGAACCCATCCATATTTCTGCTGTAAAACAAGATGTTAAAACGTTAACGTTGTCAATAATTGTTGGAAAATAGGGGCGGCCGGTTGTCTAGATTCAAGAACCATTCATTTTAAAACCCACTCCAAGCAGTCAACGTTTTTGATTTGGTTGATAGTTTAATAGCCAAGACCTAGATCAACTTTCTTTTAGGACTGTAAATTAACAGCTCAACAGAGTGTTCAAATAAATCATTTAATTCTGTGCATCACAATATGTTTTTAAATGGTAGAAAAACAGAAATATACTGTACTTTGAAATACAGTAAAAAAAACAGACAGTCCTACTTAGACGTTCTTGCAATCGTCCTTGAACCAGATCTTGCAGCAAAGTGATGCAAAAACAACAAGTGAATAAAGTCCCCAAAATAAATTTGGCACATTAGAAATTATCCATACGGGTCATTAAACTTCATTTAAGCAGGGAATACATTGTTCAAAAGACCCGAAATAACCCAGATTTATCTTACAGAATCTGACCAGCAGGGCCAAGTTGTATGTTGTCTTATAGTTCAGTATTAAAATATCTTACTTTGTAGGAATGGAACAGAGCATCAGAGAATGATCCAGTAATAAGAATTTTTCCCAAATATATTCCCCGGTTGTTGGCAGATTTCATATTTTTAACCCTAATGGGTGAAATATAAATCTGCAAAAACCCGTACAACTCTATGTAAACTAATACACATCATGCAGCCATTACGACATGCACGTTTCAAAATCTTTGTAAAGGTTTGGCAGAATCAGTAGCCTTTTTTTTCACATCAGCTGAAGTAAATTTTGTAAACAAACTGTTTGAAACACACAGTATAACAGCAAACATAAATGTGTGCAAAACATTTTTCCAGAAGTTGTAGGACGTGATGTGATATGTTTGGTCCCCACTCCTCTGCTCTTGTGCCTGGTAATCCGACCCAAGGTGATGCACGAAATGGCCTCCAGGCCAAAGATAGTCCTTTAAGACAGCAGGAAGGGGCTCTGGGCTCAGTCATCTTCCTCTTCGTCATCCTCTACTGTAGGTAGGAAGGTGCTGCGCTTCAAGCAGGATTGGAGGTAGTTCACCACCGTCCGCTGGAAGTGCTGGATGCTGTGCGCCTCCCTCAGAACGTGGCCCTCATCTGGATACAGCTGCAGGGTATAATTGGCTTCTACCTTCACCAGTCGGCTCAAGAGTTCTGCGCTGTGCTGGAAGTGTACCCTCGCTTTGGCCAAACACACACATACATTTCAATCAAAAACACAAAATAAAATTGTGTGTTTTACGTTAGCTCTTTTTGCTGATTTTAATGTAACGTTTCTTTGAGTACTATGCAAAGTGCTGTACAAATACAATGTATTATAATTATTAAAATGTAACAAAATCTCACCGTCTGCAGTTCCATGGAGAATGAGGAAATTCTCATCTTTTAGCTTGTTAACCTCCTCCAGCAATGAGGCAGTCTGAAACAACATGCCATCACAATATACACGTTTTATTAGGTATAGTAAGCCAAAACTAATGCTGTCCAACAGAACAGTCCAACAATATATCACACCTTGATATTCATCATGTTAAATGTTTAGATTTGAATGAAACTGCATTTTTTTAGGGGCAAAAATAAATCTGTAAGTGAGAATATATCCGTAGCCTCACCGAGTACGCATGCTCCTCCTTAGCTGGAAGGCCCAGATACCTCTCTGAGAACGCAGCACCTGAAATAGGTGCAATAAATTCTCCTCAAACATATTGGTTTGATGTTTTGGTTTCGACACAATTGCAATTAAATTAAATTTGAATAGTTAATCATGTGATCGCAACTCACTATAAAGCCTGAAGTCAGTTATCGGGGCCACAGCGGCTGTGCATTGAAAGACTTTATCTGTTGCAGTTAGCATCTTCAGAGTTAAATATCCGCCAAATGCCTGCAAGGAGAAACCAAAAAATCAAAGCATGCGTTCGCTTTAATGGATTCAACAAGAGTTGAGTTTTCTTAATAAAAATATATAAAAAGCCGTGACCTTGCCATAGAGGATTATTCGGCGATCGTCAATGTAAGGCAGTTGCATCAACAGCCTGAGGATATATTACATTATTTAACCAGTTTACAGGCAACATTCTCCCATGGCAATTATAGAGCTTCATTTTGTTTGTGTGTCTAAACTTACTCTACAACTCCAAGGTAATCTTTGACCCTAACTGAGCCAAGCTTGCGCGGATCAACGGTGGTGGTCTTCTGTCCGCGGCCAACCCCGCTCCTGCCATCCACCCAGGCCAAGGCCACGTTGTGAGTGCCGGAGAGGACCTGAGGCCAGTCGAGGGAAAATTCCTCCGTCACCGACTGACTGCCAGGCACCCCGTCCCTGAGCGACAAGACCAACAGGATCAGCGAGTACGGAAAAAGATGCTGCAAAACAGGTGACCTAAGATAACTCTTAAGCTGCGGTTTGTTCGGGGATGCTTACACGAGGACGAGCAGGGGGTGCAGGTTGGCCTCGTAACCCTGAGGTAGAGATAGTTTCAGGTGTAGATCTAAGGAAAGCAAACCAGTCAAATAAGGTTAAGTGGCCATGCATGTGTTAGGATTGTCGCTACATTTACAGCCTCTGCCTGACATACTTCTGACCCTCGGAAGCACGTAATGATGATCTCTAATCTGTCCAAAACACAAAGAAACCTGCAGAATTATACTAAAACAATGATTGGCCCCATAGCAGAGGCATGGCAGACAACAATAATTATCACATTTTTTACAAAATGAATTGGTTACTCTCCACCCCTACTATGTTTGTCCCTTCCAGGCTGAGACACTTGCTGCCAGTGCTTAAAATAGTCTGACTGCTTGAGAAGGGCACTCACAGTGATCATTGAAAGCCTGTATTTGTGTGTCCATTATGCTAAACATCAAACCATATGAACCATTCGTTTTCTTTGTCATACCATGGTTGTCTGCCGGAAGTGTCCTAAACAGAGTCTCAGGAAGCCTCTTGTCCTCCAGAGCTTTAGACAGAGGGCTGTTATCCTCCAAGATGACATATCCTACAGGAGATTAAAGACCAGTGTGTCAGATTATTAATCCTAAATATCAAAAGAGACACATTAAAGATTTATGTTGAGGGCCAAATCCTCATGATCTCCACGCCGACGGTTCAAACTGAGAACTGCAGGCAGAGGGCAGTGTTCACACGCCTCGGATTGAAGACTCTACGTTCTGGTGTGTTTGAATATAGCTTCCTCTGCAGGCTGTAGCAAGAAACTGCAAACAGGGTTGTGTGCGTGTGTGTGTGTGTGTGTGTGTGTGTGTGTCGTTGTATAATCCGACAAGCAGATGCAACACTCACTGGAGGGGTCCTTTGTACTATGCACCGTCACTTTAGGTATTCCTGGGCCTGAGGAATGTTTCAAAAGAAAACATTCAAAAACCAACTGTCTGGAAGGCGTGAAGCTTCAGAGCTTACTGCTTGTCTTTTGTGTTTACCAATTACCTAGACAATAGAGGATGAAGTAGGATTGATCGGGGCTGAATTCAGCTTTGAAGAAGCGACATCCGTCTATGCGATTACAGGAGATGCAGCGGCGCTGAAACACTCCATCCAGGTCCACACTTGGACACAAGAAGAAAAGAAACAAGGGTTATTGACCACACAACAGAGGAAAAGGTCAGTCTGGAGAGATTTTAGCAGCGGCAGGACAAGTTCAATTAATTGCCGAGATGTTACGGAAAAAGGTTGGTGCCTTGAGACCAACTAAGCAGTTGACTTTTGAGAAATAGAAATAATTACAGACCACATTTAAACAAGCGTCGGACTACATCATGTTGAGCCATCTCCTGAAGCCCAAAGCGATGTAAGCTGATAGAAAGACGCGAGGCTGATGTGGGAACAGAAAAGCGTGTCTTCCGTGTCCACACAGACGGCCGTAGTCCACTACTCTTTTATTTATTTCTTGGCCTCGAGCATGAAGAACATTTCACATGTCAACACATCAATGTGCAGTTAATTTTCTGAATGCTTGCACAGCCAGGACGGCAATGTTGGCCACCTACTTTGTACCGAACAGAAACACTATGGATGATATTAAGGATGTTCATAATGGTCGGAAGATTATTATTACATTACAGGTCATTTAGCAGACGCTTTTATCCAAAGCGACTTACATTACACTTTAAACCCACGGCCTTTTCACATTTTTTCCCAGGGAGCAATTAGGGGTTAGGTGTCTTGCTCAGGGACACTTCAACATGGAACAAGGGGCAGCCTGGAATCGAACCACCGACCTTGTGCTTCCCAGCACACCTTCTCTAACCCCTGCGCCACAACGACCCATTCTTATCATCCTCTGACTCTACAGCTACCACCACCATGAATCTTAACTTTTCTACTAAAA